GACACACGGCCTGGCTCTAGGGCCACCTGCCCAAAGTGGGGTGGCGGCTGGGGCCACACATGAAAGGGATTCAGAGGTCCATGCAGAGCAGACCCCCTCACTGCTGCCACAATCAGGGGCTGGGGGCCTGGAGCCGAAGAGGCAGGTCCAGCCTCTGCCCCTTGTCATAGGGAGGCCGCAGCCCCCAGTGGCAGGGGGCCGCTGCTGGCCGCCCTTGGGGAAGGCAGAGGGTGGAGGGCGTGACACGAGGGCTGCCCTCTTCCTCATCCGGCGAGGCAGTGCCCAGGGGCCTGGACAGGAGCCGCCGCCCTGGCCTCCCAGCCGCTGGCTCACACGCTCCACTGCGGCTCCTGCAGAAGCTCTCTGCCCTGGTTTTTGTTCAACCTGGGCCCCGGGCGGGCGAGGCGGGGGCAGGAATGTGTGCGGGGCCTGCTGCCCGCCCTGCTGCTGCGTCACGAGCTGCCTCCCTCCCGGCCTATGGGAGCCCAGGGGACACACCTGTCGGCGGCCAGGAGCAGAGATTGGTCGGCCGGGAGCAGGCACCTGCGTGGGGCGGGGTGAGGCCCTACATGTAAGGCGAGCCCGGGGCCACGCCGTCTCTTCCCTGCCCTGCCCTTCGCCGCCACCTCCATTGTTCCCAGTCGCTCTCAAAACTTTCCCACAAGGCCCGGCGAGCTGTCCACCTGGGGAACCTCAGGTTTTCCTTTGTGTGGAGCCCCAGCTGACGGGCAGAAAGCTGGGCCCCTGGTGGCGGGCAGTCCTCACCCACTCCCTGCTGCCCGAGGCCGGATCCTGGTTGGGGCAGGTTGGGCTGAAGCCAAACCTGGGCGCCTGGGCTGTCGACCACGGGCTGACAGGTATCTGGGGTGACTGGTGCCAAAGCTCTTCTCTGATGTCTGTCCTGAGGCCTGGTGGGTCCCAGGCACAGGGACGGTGCTGAACACACCGGTCCAGCCGGTGGGCTGGGGGCGGGGAGCCGCCTCCCCTCCTCCTTGGGCGCGGAACCTGTCGGGGCAGGTCGTGCGGGAGGCGGAGGCGGAGGCGCCAGGCAGGCCGCTCGCAGGAGAGCCTCCCAGTGGACGCTGACGTCCCCTCAGCCGACTGGAGAAGACAGGGTAGTGATGGCAGACGCCCGTTCAGCGGCCGAGTCCAGCTCAGGGTGAGGCCTTGGGAGAGGGTGGTCCGTCCTCTCAGAGGAGAAGGTGGCGCTGGGGCCGGGCGCTGGGTGTCGGGTGTGGAGCCATCTTGGGCCACCGCGGTCCATGGGCCGTGTCTGCCGGGACCGGGCGGGCCTGGGCGCGGCATCTTCCCGCCAACCCGAGGGCAACTGGGGGTTGCCGACTGTGAGGGTTCCCGCCTTCCGCCTGACTGGGACCTTCTGGAAAGCTCTTTCCTGAATCGTCCCCAAGGCAAGGCCCCTCAGATACTTCGTCCCCCGGAGCGGGCATGGGGAAGGCCGCATGGCTGTGCAGGTGTGTTTCTGGGTTTGCTCTCAGGAAGGGCTTGGTTTTGCCGGCAGCCACACGGCTGACGGTTGGAGTGGGGGCAGATCTGGTCTGGCCCAGATTCCGGCTCTTTCTCACCCGCCGTGTCTCAGGCGCCAACAGAGCCGGAACCGCCCTGGAGAGGCGTAGGCTGGCCCGGGGCCGACACCATTACTCGGGTCAGGTCCAAAGTCTATCCCACAGATTCTTTACTTAAATGCAAACTAGCCCAACAGCCGGGACCAAGCCACACACCTCGTCCGGCGAAGCTGCCGCAGGCATGGCCGGCTTTGAACTCACCGCATGGCGGACAAGAGCAGCTTTCGTGGCCAAATCGCTGGCTTTCTTAGACAGTTCTAAATTGTGGGAGGCGATAACACCGACGGGCCGAGAGGTAACTGTCTTTGCGGCTTAATATACAGTTCAGTTCTTGACAGACAGAACTTTGAGGGCATCACGATACAATGTTTCACTTCATCCACCGGCAGCATTTTAGACCTTTTCAGGCTGAGCGTCAGAAAAAAGAGCTCGGCTTTGTTCTGTTCACTTCTCCCTAGTAACCCGGTGAAACACCTAAAAGTTAGAGCAACTGGCAGCACCTCAAATGAGGCAAAATAAGTTTTGCATGATGCAAAACCACCATAAAATATGGGCACAGTCTGCTGTTAATTTTCAGACATTTTGGTAATTTGCAAATACTTTATTTGCAAAATCAGTTTGTAAGAATGTGTCTGGTGAATTTAGGAGAAAGTAAAATGGCCCATGGAAGCCCCCCGTCCCCCAAGGAGCCTGGCTTGTTCTCCGGGGCAGCTGAGCATGGGGCGAGGCCGAGTGGGGGAAATGGCGGCTTCGCCTCGCGGCTCGACCGACGCTGAAGACATGCCCTGCGTGCAGACAGGCCAGCTCGCCGCCGCCCCCGCCCCGCAGCACTCGTCCAGGCTGGCGGATCCAGGATCCAGCGCGCGCACTCGGGTTGGGTTTCCGCGCTTTGTTCTCTGGGGCCCTCACCATTGATTAAGGCCCGTCGGGCAGGTTAACCGGTGAGTTAGGTTTTCCCGCTGGGGTGGCGTCCCACCCCACCCTGTGCCTGTGCAGGTGGGACCGCCCAGGGCCAGGCAGCCGGGTGCCTGCAGGTGAGGTGTTTGCTCTGAAAGAAGAGCCCAGAGGGTGATGCTCGGGCCTCAACTCCTTCCTCGATTTCCCCAGGCTGCGCCTAGTCGTGGTGGCGATGAGTAACCAGACCCCAGATCAGGGACCACACTCTGGCTCCACTCCCACCAACACCGGGCCAGGGAGGCCCTGTGGGCGCTCGGAAGCAGACACTCGCCTTCACTTTTCATTTCAGCCGTGAGACTTGCCGGTCGTCCAACCTGTGCTGCGCGCGACCAGGCCCTGACACCACTCCAAACTGTGCTCAGAGGCCCAGGCCAGGCATCGGTCTTTCCTTGTGGATTTACAGGTTCTGAGTTCAGGAACAGAGGGGATTCTGTCCTGGAACCTGGGAGACATCATTCTGCTGCCCACCCACCTACCTGCCACAGGTCTGTCTGTGTCTGACCATCTGTCCGTGCAGCTCTCCACCTCTTAGGTGAGAACATGATGGCTGATGAGCTGGTGGGCAACAGATAGCAAGGGTGATCGGTCCATCTGGCTTGCGGTCAGGCCGGCTCTGGGCCTGTGGGATCTCTGGGCCCTCGGTGCTCCAGGCAGGGCTCCGGAGGCCACACAGTAGGAGGCCAGCCTGTGCACAGTGGGCTGGCTAGGCGTGGGGGGCGCTGGGCACCTGCCCACCTCCCCTCACCCAGCCCCCCAGACCTCCCCATGCAGCTGGCCTCTGGGAGTGGAGCTGAAATTTAACTCAGCTCTGAAAGCAAAGTCTAGATGGTCTCCTTCAGCTCAGAAAAAAGTGAACTTGCATTCCTCAAGCAGACTGATTTTACGGGGTCCACGGGATGGACAGTGAAAGTCGAGGTGTCGAGCCAGGAGCGGCCAAGGAGGGGATGGGGCACAGGGCAGGAGCCTGGCCATGGGCTCCACCTCTGAGACTGGACGTGGTCACCCACAGGGTCCAGGCACCTGCGAAGCCCCCTCCCCGTGCGGAGGACTGCCGTGCCACTAGTGCCCCAACGCCAGGCCTGTGAGAGTGTCAGATCCTCTGAGAAATGTTGGCCATTTCGAGGGCCAAGCTGGAGAACCGGGTAGACCCGGCTGAGGCCAGGAGGGGGGTGGACAGAGTCTTTGTTGTGGTCAGCTGGGCGGCCTGGGGCAATCGGCATGGGCCAGAGCCCCTCCCTGTAGCCTCTGTGGGTGGAAGGTGCCAGAAAACTTAAGGAGCTGCTCTGGCCAGCTCTCCAGGCCCTGGTGCCACCTATGCAGGGACAAAGAAGGGATGACGGAGGATGAGACCCCTCAGTCTCCCCAGGGCAGGGAGCCGGGGTCTCTCAGCAACACGCAGGGGCTCCAGGTATGGGCCCTGGGCAGGGGAGGGGCCCCAAGCTGCCCACTTCTTTGACCCCCTCACTCTGAACACTCCTGTCCTGGGGGTGCCTTTAAGGACTGGCCTGGCTCCCACAGGCAGCTGGGGGGTCGTCATCCTGCATTCTGCCTTTGGGGGCTGGGGGGCGGTTGGGCCCCAGACCAGTGGGTGCACAGGCCGCAGTGACCACTAGGCACAGGCTGCCCAGGGCTGCCCCTCTTGCACCCCTCCTGCAGGCCCAGCGCCATCTCGCTCTCCGACCTCACAGCCAGCGGCGGCCAGCACCCAGGGCCACGGAGAAGTTGGGGACAGACAGCCCCAGCTATGACCCGGCTGGTGAGCAAGGCAGCCAGCAAGAAGGGGATCTGGGCCGGGGAACACATGCGCTGCTCGGTGGGATGAGGGCTGGGGAGGGCCCCCCGGGTGCCCTTGCCTCGGAGCCACGGCCACTCTATCCCCATCCAGACACCCTTCCACGCCCTTGACAAGGGCAGGAAGGGGCTGGACTGGAGACAGCCGTTGGGGCGGCGTCTGGGAGACAGAAGCCCATTGTCTGGCCACAGCAGCACCACGGCCTCAGACATATTCACGCTCACCCGGGACCCCGAGGGGTCTGGGCCTGACGTCCAGGCCTTTCCCTGGGGCTGCCCAGAGGGAGGGTCCCACTCTGCCTCTGCTCCGTGGGGCTGCCAGCCTCTTGTGGGCAGGACACCTGGCCCCCCTCAGGTGCCACACCATGCCCGGAGCTGGTGGCCATGCTGGGCTAGTGGGGCTGAACGGGCAGGGAGGTCACCTTGTGGTCCCAGCCTCCAGGGCTTCCAGGTGCTGCAGCCCAGCGCTCCCGGGCTGAGCCCCCAGAGAGGGCCTGCCCAGTGCTGTGGCCTCGGGGCACACGGGTCCCTTGCTCCATCCCCTGCCCCTCGCGGGACCGTCGCCACCTTGATGCCCTAAGAGGACATTGTTCTGCCTCAGGCTGCTGAGTGTCCCCGACATCGAGTCCCTCCTGACCCAGCGGGCGGCCCCAGACCCACCTCGGGGCGGCCGTCGCCATCTTACTGGGCAGCATTGGATGTGTCTGGTCTCTAATACTGCCTGGTAATGATGACGGCGGGGCCCTGCACGCAGCCAGGGGGCCGCCCGCCCCAGCCCGGCCCCCCCCGCCCTCCCTCTCCCCACGCAGGCCCCAGCTCTCAACATCCAGAGTCGGCTTGCCTGCCCACAGCACCCTGGCCTGTCCTGCCTGTGGCTTCTGGGTGGGGCTATGGGGTAGAAACTTGACCTAAGGCAGCCCCCCAAGCCTGGATGTGTCTGACAGCCCCTCCTCAGCCCCCAGAATGTGAGGCCTCCTGCCGCTGTGCTGAGTACCCCCAGTGATCCCGGATTAGGAGGCTCAGGTGTCGGCCCTGCCCATGGTGCCCGAGCAGGTGCTGCCACCACACGCGGCAGGTGTGGGCAGGGCAGAACCCTAACCGAGGCTCCAGGGGGCGGAGGTCCAGCGCGGGGTGGGTGGCCACCTCATACACCAGCAGCACCGCCAGCCGTGGTACAGGGTCCGCGGCCCAGGTCTCCTCACTCTGGAGAGAGCAGGGGCCACCCATGGCCCTCCTGTCCCGGTCCTGTTTCCACATGGGCCTGCCTACCTGGGGCGGGTGCCACATGCCGTCCACGTCCTCAGGCTGAGGCGCCTGGGCCCCTGTGGGCATCTTACCGGACAGTGCTGGATTTCTCGGCTCGACTCTAACACTGTCTGGTAACGATGTTCAAAGGTGACCCACTGCCGCCCGCTGGGGAGCGACCGAGGATGCGCGGTCCTGAGCTCCCGGACTCCAGAGATGGACCAAGCCTGGCATGGGGTCAGTTCAGCCACATCGGGGCCCTTGGCACCTCCTCAAGGGACCCAGGAAGGGACCTCTCGAGCCTTCCCCGGCTCCCTCCTGGGCTGGGCTCTCAGGGTGACCTGATCCCTGGGACAGACTATTAGGGCCAGGACACCAGGACTGGAGCAGGGCCACTAGCCCTGTCCTGAACACTGACCTCATCCTGGGAGCCTGTGCGCCCAGCACACCCTCCAGACCAGCCCACTTCGTTCCAATGGGTTGAGGTGGTCTCTGAGAGCTTTTAGCAGAAGTGGCCTGTTGGGCCCAGATCAGCTGCCACACAGGGAAATGCATATTCTGGCTGGTACAGAGCTGGCAGCAGGCAGCCCACCTTCTCTGCCCAGCCCCTCCCACGCACCACACAGGGTCAGATGTCCACTGTGGCTGTCCTCAGGTACCCCAGCCACACTCGCCATCGGGAGCTGGCCCTCCTCCTAGAGCCCCCAGTCAGGTGGGGTTGGCCATGGGTGGTGGCCTCTCTTATACCATAAAGGGGACATAGGAAGGTCAAGGGTGTGTCCAGGTGCCTCGGCCTCAACCTACAGGACGACTGCAGTGGACGTTCTGTGCTGTTTCCTGACAAGGACAGAGTCTCCCTCTCCCCACACCAGCCCCCAGTGTCGCAGGCGAGAATGGGAACAGTGTCTGCACTCAGCAAGGCCAGGATGGCCCTTTGCTTTATCTTTCTGATCTGAAGCCAGGACACCGGCCCCCAGACCTGCCTGGCCCCACGCACAGGGGCGGGCCTTCTGGGCCCCAGGAACCCCACCCTGCACTAGGCCCGAGCCAGTCTCTCCCGGGGGAAGAGGGGTCTGCCCTGGCCTTGCAGTTACTCATTAACCGACCGAGAGCCATTCAGGACACCACGAGGGGCACAGGGAGTGTCACTCAGGATCAGGAGCAGGGCGACCAGATGGCTCCCCAGCTGCACCCACAAACGTGCCTGGGGGGCTGCGTGCCGGGGTCAGGGTCTGTGGAAAGCCCTCCTTGGAACAGTTGAGGGCAAGGTGGGTCCCGGGAGGTCGGGCCAGAAACCAGGCCACTGGGCCTCTGGGAGCCACTCTACACACTCAGGAGGGTCCGGGGGTCTTGCCACCCAGCTGAACTTGCCCACTGCTTGGGTGCCGCAGGACAAGAGGTGGGAGAAGCTGCTCCTGGGCCCTCCTGGAGGGGCCGCCGGACTCAAGGCGCCTGCACCGCAGCCTGAGATGGGCGTCTTACCAGACACGGTTAGATCTGCGTCCTTCTGTCTAATACTGTCTGGTAATGCCGTCCATCCACGGCCTGACCGCCGCCGGAGGAGGGGCCTTGCCCGGTGCCGGGTGGAGGGCAAGGCCCGTGGTCCGTCAGGACCAGCAGTGGCCCTGAGCCAAGTGGTGCACACCTGCCCAGGCCTGGGGCCCTTGCGTCCCCCCAGGGCACAGGCCATGCCAAGACCTCCCAGCTCCCGTGACCCTGAGCGGGGGAGCCCTTGGACCCTGAGGTGGGGTTTCTGTTGTGGACACAATGAATCATTGGTGAAATAAAGGCTGTGAGGACCACGGCGGCTGGCACTTCTCACCTCAGGGGCACAGTTGGCCGGGCGGGCAGGGTACAACCCACTCCACAGCGGCCCAGCAGGCTCAACACTGAGGGTCTGTAAGTAGACTGTGCAGCCACCACACTGTCAGCACTGCCACCACCCAGGAGTGACCTGGGGGTCTGCAGTCAGCACCCCCCAGAGCCCCACCCTGGAGAGAGGTGACCTCAGCCTGGGGTACCAGGCTGGGGGCCCAAGGAGGACAAGAGAGAAGCAGCCCCAGCCCCCCAAACTCCCAACCTAGGGAGAGGAAGAGCACTCCTGGGGCACCCTCTCCCACACCCCAGGTGGTGCGAGGACCCTGGAGGGTGCAGACAGTGGTGACCCCACAGATGACACCCGGCCCTCAGCCTAGAGCAAGAAGCTTGGGGGAGGGGGTGAGATGGGCAGGGGTGGAACGCAAGCCACCTCTCCTTCTACAGGCCTCAGCCCAGGGCCCCCACCAGGTCCCCACAGGCCCATCTCTCTGGGTGCAGGGCAGGTGACCACTCATGGGGGGGGTGGAAGGATGCGCAGCCCCTACACTGTCACAGGGCCTGCCCTCAGGGCCCCACCCTGTAGCCACTGCCCTGCCCCCCTCTGCTCGACCCAATGAGGCTCATCAAGGTGTCCTCTGTCTAAAGCAGTTCCCAAACCAAACTTTGGGATGCTGATCCCACCCCCAGCCTCCTGGCTGCCCCCTAAAGCCCCTTCCTGCCCCTGAGAATTCCAAGCAGGTCCTTGGATCCTGACCCGTGGCTTTGCAAAGGACCTGCTGAGGACAGAGCCCCAGACCCTACACCCCCCGCCCCCAAGTGCCCCATGGCCAGAGTCCCAGAGGCCTCCTCCTCCCTCCCTCCTCCTTCCTTCCTGAGCGCCCCCTGAGAGCAGTCACAGTTCTAGACACACTGGGGGAAGAGGAAGGTCCTGAGACGGAAGGACAGATGGTGACGGGGGCCCAGAGCAGGACACGCCAGGCCACCACTGGAGCAGTCGAGAAGGCATTTGGGGTGAGTTCAGCCTGGGAAGGCCTCCTGAGTAGGTGACTGACTGGGGACCATGCAGACACCTGCAGGAGCCAAGCAGAGGGACTCAGAGGCCAGAGGCCACACGGGGCCAGCCAGGAGAGCTTCCTGGTCCGGCGTGAGGCGGCTTAGCCCGGCCCCAGCAAGGCACTGACTGTCAATGGGAGGCCGAGGCCTGACCTGCCCCGAAGACCCCCCCAGCACGGCTGCAAGAGGGGCACTGGGCCTTTCCCCACTGCTCCTCATGGCCCCAGAGGGGGAGCTGGGCCGGCCTCCAGCACAAATGGTCTGAGAACACCCACCTACCCTGAGAGAGGCGTCCACCCCACAGCGATGGCGGGTTAATGATTCTCCCGCCTCACTCCAGGCTCAGATGCAGTGACACACCAGTCCCAGGCAAGTTATGAGGCAGAGTGTTCAAGCCTGAGCTCCTGATGTCACAGTGTGGGCAGGGACCACCTCCCAGAACGCACAGGGAGCCATGGGGGACCAGGGTGGTGGGCTGGTCCAAGAGCTGGAGCCTCCAAGGGGTGTGGGCCCTAGAAGTGATGGGGGAGGGAGGCACAGGCTCCCGAGGGAGGATAGCCACGCGGGTTTCGAGGGTCTGTGCTCAGGTGACCAGGAGGTCCAGGGGACCCACTGCCCCCCTTCCCACTGTTGCCCCTGGCAGGCCCAGGCTGGGGGTCCACCAGCTCCTAAGGTCAGGGTGCCCCCATCAGTCAGTCAAGGGCTTGGCCGGAGGAGCTGTCTGCCCCTCCAGGCCGACCTACAGCTACCAGAGGGCAGATGGGTCTCAGACCAATGTCCAGCCGCACTGACCCCCGAAGGCCCCCAGCACCTGGCACAGGGAGGCATGGAGCCTGGGGGTTGCCTCAGCCTCTGTGTGGGGTCAGAGAGGCCTCCCTGTAGTGCAGGGAGGTTTAAGGGCTGCGGAGACAGGTGGCCACAGATGGGGGGCTTGAGAAGTTCCTTGTTCAAGGCTGGGTCAGCCCGGTTCCGAGACACTCGTCTCTCGTTTCTCTCACACAGCAGTGTCTGCAGTATCTTGAGTTTCCTAAGGTGCCTTGTTAGTCTCCCAGGGCTGCAGAGACAGGTGGCCACAGGCAGGGGGCTTGAGACCACCCAGAAGTCTGTTCACAGTTGAGGAGGCCGGAAGTCAGGAACCAGGATTGCGGGATGCTCCCTCTGGATCCTGCCTCTTCCGGCCTCTGGGGGTTCCAGGCGTCCCTGGGCTGTGGCCACACCCCTCCAGCCACCCATCCTCATGTGTCTCTTCCTCTCTCCACCTCCCTGTCATGAGGACGCTGGTCACTGAATTCAGGACACATAGTCCAGGAGGATCTCATCACGAGACCCTTAACTTAATCACATGCGCAAAGACCCTTTTTCCAAGTGAGGTTGCATCCACAGGCCCTGGGCTGAGAACGTGGACACACATTTTGGGGCCACCATCCAGGCCTACAGGAAGCAAGTGGAAGACACCCTCGTGACCCACACCAGGCTCTGGAGGTCGGGGGGCCGCGTGGGTGGGAGGGGTGGGGGCTGTCTGGGGCAGTCAGAGGCACAGCAGCCAGGAGCTTTCCTGGTCTTCCAGACCTGGTGTGAGCCCCCCGCTGCCCCTTAGGGGAGGCACTGACCTTGCTGAGGTGTAAAGCAGGGATACCCTGTGCTAGGGCTGTGCTGAGACGAAATGTAACATGTAAAGCACAGTGGGGGCAGATGCCGGGTCCGGGCATGGATGTGGGGGTCTTGAGAAGGCTCAGCGATGCTGCTGGGGAGGACGGAGGGCCTGGGCAGAGCTGTGCTCCAGCCCCGTTTGTCCCCACCCTGCCCCCTGGCCCCCATTCACCTGCCTACCTCCGGGCCACTGGGTCTGGTTGCTGGGAGATGGTTGCCGAGTCACCACTGTGGTTTCCCCGGCCCAGGACTTGAACCACCTTGTCAGGCAGGTAGGCGGGACGGGGGGCCACCAGCAGGGGTCCTGGCCGGGCGTGAGGGCTGGGCCCGCAGTCCTGTGCCCTCCCCCCGGCCACCAGGGACCCTGTGGGTCCTCTTGGGACTCTGCCCAGGAGCAGACAAGGAGGGAGACCAGGGAGGGGAGGGCAGAGGCGGGGCGGACTGGCTGGGCCGAGCCCCCTCCGCAGAGGACGCACGGCCCCAGGGCCACCGCGTGAGGGGCACGGACTGCCGGGCAGGGAAGGGCATGCCTCCTGGGGTGGTGGCTCCTCAGGACGGGCTCCTGTGCCCAGGACCACGTCTGTCTCCCAGAATCAAACTCCGGAAGGGCGGCCCCCTGAAATCCGTGGGACCCACGACCCCCGAGGCAGCCCGCCCCTGCCAGGAGGCGCCAGCCCGTCCAAACATGTCAGCACCTCCCTGGCGCTCGCGTCAACAGATGTGAATCTGCAGCAGACGCCTGGTCGGCCACTCACTGTCTCGCTTTCTCGGACGTTTTCCTCAGGTTCACGAGAGTCTCCAGCTCCACACACCGGGCTACTGTTTCCTGCCAGTCTCTTTACCTGACCAGGTAAAAGCGGATTTCAAAATGTCCTGTGAAGTCGAGTCCTCCCTCGACCGCCCTGGTGCCACTGTGTCCTGCAGTCCTGATAGGGCGTTCAGCTGCGCTCACCCTGTGGCTCACCCCGTAAATGACAATGACGCCCCCAGAACACCTGTAAGGGGGGGTCTGTTCCTGTGTCTAGAATCTCGTCCTTGAGAGACGGAGGAGGGTGGAGCCGGGAGCTCCGACCCGCAGCCACGCCCGCCCAGTGGCTCCGGCCAGCCCAGTGCGCCTGGGTCCCTTTTTAAAAAATCTTCGCTAATTTGAATGAGGGGAAATGATAACTCGTGGCTTGTTTAATTCTTTGTGAAAGTAGTGAGTACGGAGAGTCAGAAAAAGCAAATCAAGGTGCAAGGCTGGTCATGGGGACCAGCCTCCCCCACAAGGCCACCTCACCAGCTCCTCCAGCTGCTGCTGCACTTGCCTTCGTGTCTCCAGTCCCCTTTGCGAAGTTACCCCCTGTGGAGGTAACTCCACTCTGGACCGTGGAGGGTGGGGCTTGCAGCCACAATGAGCATGCATCCTGTGGGTGAACTCCCTCAGGCTGCTGTTACTCCCAGCCAGCTTTGCAGGCAGACAAACTGAGGCACAGAGAGATTAGGCAGACTGTGGGGCTCACAGTGGATCCGCTGTGACCAGCCCAGCTCCCTGCCCAGGAATTCCCAAGGGACATCTGAAGACCTTGTCTCCTGCCCACTGGGCGCCTCCCCAGGATGTGACTTCAACCCCTTTTTCTTCATGCTTCCATTTTTGTGCTCTCCTTTCTGGGCAATTTCCTGGCCTTGAACTTCGACCCTTGTGTTGCATTTTTAACTTCCATGAGCTCTTGCGTATTCTCTGTTCCTTTGTTCTAACAGCGTCCAGCCCTTTTCTGGGGTGAGGACTCTCCTACGCTCCCAGCACCTTCTGGGGTGGTTTCCTCTGGCTTCCATGTCACCCCTCTCTCCCCCTTGTCTCCCTCTGCATGTCTGTGCATGTGTCTGAGTGTGTCTGTGTGTGCGCATGACTGAATGTGTCTGTGCATGTCTGTGCATGTGTGTGACTGAGGGTGTGTCAGCGTGTGTGTATGACTGAGTGTGTATCTTTGTGTGTGCATGACCAAGTATGTGTCTGTGTAAGTATGTGTGGGTCTGTGTGCATCTGTGTGTGCGCCAAGCTCTCACTCACACCTGGGGGGCCTCCCTCAGATTCCTGTCGACCTGCCTGGGGGCCACTCACCTAAGGGTGCTGTGGGAAGGTACTGAATGTCAGCATGTTGGGGGATCCCACATCCCCAGCAAGACTCCCTGGACCTGCCACAGGTGCTGGGCACCAAGGGGGAAGGAGCTGGGGCCTCCTAGGCAACATGGAGAGTTGCCCACATGCACACACATCCTCACTCACACACGTACGCACACACGCTCACACACCCTCCCTGTTCTCAGCAGGCTCTCCCCATACCCTGGCCGCCCGCTCAGCTCCCACAGCCATGCTGATGGCTATTCACACTTTCTTCCTCTTCTGTCCTGAGGATCGGCCAGCATTTCTGCGTGACCAGCTGGTTTGTTTGCAGGAACCCCTTCTCTGTCCTGCCAACTCCTCCGTGTGCTTGCTTTTACACTGAAGCTTTTTGAATCCTTCAGAAAGTCATCTCCCAAGCAGCCTCAAAACTGGGAAAGACCCATCAAGGAATTGCTAAAATTCCCAGAAATGTTCCCAACTTGGCTACATGGGAAAAGGTGCTCAAAAGGAGGCGGCCTCATGTGGGCAGGGCCTGGCAGCAGTGAGGACGCTGCTGGACACCTCGCTGCCCAGCCGCGCCTCAGACACAGGGCCACCCTCGGCTCCAAGGAGGCACCTGCGGGGCCAGGGTGCCCCTCCCAACCCCCAGGCCTGACGGTGGCCCTCCTTACAGCCAGCACCGAGGCCGAACACAGCAGCACCAGGAAGACGGTCTCTGCAGGGAAGGCCGCACCCGGGACAGATACAATGCAGAGATGGCCCTGCCCCTGCGGGGCGCCAGGCCCCACGGTCACCACAGAGACAGCAGCCAGCCACAAGCAGAAACCCAAGTCCAGGACCACCGGAGGCACCCCTCCCCAGGCAGTGTGGGCCTGACCGTGTGCCCAGTCCAAGGGCTAGGACCACGGGCTGCCCGAAGGTCTCGCAGGGGGGTGGGGGCGGCGTCTTCCCAGAGGGGCCCCCGCCTTGGTGCCCCCATGCCTATGGGCCGAAGCCACACTCACTTCATCCACCGCCGGAGACGGCCCACCCGGACCCAGATCAGTGCGAAGAGAGGCAAGCGGTCAAGGATTACAGGGCTCCGGTGGAGCTGTCCGCGGGCGCCAGGTGAATGCAACCCTGGGACCAGCTCGACCCCCTAGGCCAGGGCCTTCCCAGGCCAGGCGCCCCATCTCAGGCAAGGCGTTCTCATGGGGACACCACACATGGCCCTGCCCTGGGAGAGGGGCCAGCATGAGGCCATGCGCTGGGCATGGGGTCTGGGCGAGCTGAGCAGAGCAGGGGACAGCAGAGTCGGGGTCTGAACAGGCACAGAGAGGGGACACCACTGCTCTCCACAGTCTGGCGGGGTCACCCGCATGGGCAGCCACAGCAGGCATGTTCCTGCCTGCCCCGGAACCCAGCCCCTGCCCAGGGCAGGCCCGGCCCTATCATCCCTGCCTGACATGGGTCACCCATGACGTCATGATGGACATTGTGACCCCCACCCTCCTGGGCACGTCCCTGCACCACGTCTGCCCCCAGGTCCAGCTACACATCCTAGCCCCTGCCTTGCACGGAGCCCCTGCCCTGTTGGTAGGGAGGGGCCCTCCCGGCTCCAAGGCCGGCCCTGGGTGGTGGGGACTGTCCCCTCTCTCCTAGGAGGTGTAAGAGGCCCAGATCCACTGGTCAGGGCTGAGCCTGGGCTGAGATGGGCTGAGACAGGCTGGGGGGCTGCCGGAAATGACTGGGCTGGGTTCAGGCCAGATTCTGAGTGGGCGCCTCCCCTAGCCACCCCCTGACTCCACCCCGTTCCCAGGCTGGACCCATGAAAGATCGATGGGGAGCAGCCAGGAGGAGGGGCTCCTGTGTCAGCTAAGCCGACTGAACCAAGATGCAGGTGGGCTCTGAGGCAGGTATCGAGAGGGGGCAGGAGAGGCTCCAGGCAGGCCAGAGCCTCTGACCAAGCACCTGCCCCCAGACCTAGATGCCACTGACACTACCAGGCCCCGGGCTGTACTCCTGGAGAAGCACCTGCTAGAGGGAGAGAAACGGCCACCCAGCCCTGGTCAGGGCCCCTTCTTCTACATCGGGGGCACTAATGGGGCCTCAATGTGAGTGGGGGCCTCGAGGCGGACCCAGTGGCGCTGCCCCCAGGGCCCAGCCCAGCCTTGGTTCTGCTGCCCTGGCCCCACGTCCCCTCCCTTAGGTCGCCCCCTCCCCTGGGGTGACGGGCTGCCCTACCCTGCAGAATCAGCTCCTACTGCAAGAGCAAGGGCTGGCAGCGCACCCAGGACAGCAGGCGGGAGGACTACAAGCTGAAGTGGTGTGAGGTCAAGAGCCGGGACACTTACTGCTCCTTCCGGGAAGGTAGCCAGGAGGCAGGGCTGGGACCTCGTCCTGTGGCCTGTGAGGGCTCCTATGGCAGTCACCCACATGCTGCCCGGGGCTCTGTCATGCCAGGCGAGCAGCTGCTGTACCAGCTGCCCAACAACAGACTCCTCACCACCAAGATCGGGCTGCTCAGCGCCCTGAGGGAGTACTCGCGGGTCCTGAGCAAGACCAATGCAGTGCTGTGCACCCAGGCCAGGTAAGCCCACCCTGGCACCTGCCATCAACCCGCCACACACCCATCTGTTCTTTAAAGCAGTAGACCCCATCCACGCACCCGGTCCCACAGACCCACTCATCTGACATGTCAGTCAGTTGCTGGTCTTGACCACCCTCCATGGAATCCATCCACTCACCATTCTGTCCACTCACTTACATCCATCCACCCACCCATCTTCCCACTGACCCATCCAGGCACTCACCAACCTGTTTCCACCCCCAAACACCTGCCCCTATTCCATCCACCTGCCCCATGGACCACTCAGCCACAGACCACCAACTGGTGTCCCTCATTTAGTCATTCATTGCCCCCACACCCACTGCCGTCCATCCACCCATACCTGTTCCCACAGCTCCTTCTCCACTCACTGTCCATCTACTACCCTTCACCCACCACCACATGGCCATGCCGAGGCCCTCAGTGACCTCATCTCTCTGCTTATCTGCCCGCCCACTTACTCATCCATTCATTTGCCCAACCATTTCCACATCTCCCCACCCATCCAACCAACCACCCACCATCTGCCTCCCCCACTCACCCTCACCAGGCAGGCAGCCTACTCACTACCTGGTCATCCACGACACCATCTTTGCATCTACATGTCCAGCTGCCCACCTGCACCCTACCCATTTCTGTCAGCAACTCTGATCTGTTTCCCCCAGGCATATCCATCTATCTATCCACCAGACCGCCTGCCCATCCCTCCACCTACTTCCATCCAAAATCCATTTATCTAACCACCCACCACACACTCACCTATCTGCCTCAAAGCCCCTGTTCCCCCACCTCTCCAGACCCCCACCCATCCCTTCTCCACACACTACTGAGTGGTCACTCAGGCCAGGCCCTGTGTCCCCGGGGTACAGATCTGGAAAGGATGCAGCACCTGCCCTTGAGGAGCCCATGTGGACCAGCCCAGGATGCCTTGGGCCACAGAGGTAGATGCACTCAGCCCAGCTGGGAGGGGCTGCTCTGCCCTCAACTGAAGGATGGCCTGGTGGTAGATGACAGGGGTTAAAGGCATCCCAAGCCCGGGGAAGAGGTTTGGACTAGCCCAGGACGCTGACCATGCTGACCACTTGTTGCATGCCTGGCACTGTCCTGGCCTGGGGACACAGCTCTGACTAACTGCTCACAAATGCCTGAGACGGTACAGGGAGGAGGGGGGAGGGGCCAGGAAGTGGGCGAGGCGCCTGCAGCCTGCAGAGGAGCCAGGTGTGCAAGGAGCCAGAAGAGAGTGCTCCTGGCCAGAGAACAGAAGAAGGTGGGCAGACTCTGCAGAGGGAACAGCAGGGGCCAAAGGCTGCCGGTGGCTGGAGCCCACCACATTCCCCCTCCAGCCGCCCAGGTCAGACCCCTGGAATGGCAGGCCAAGTCTGGGGTGGGGGAAGAGCCCTCCCTGTCCTCCCCACCTCCCTGCTCCCCCAGGGTCCTGAAAATGGAAGAATTTTTCCCAGAGACCTACCGTCTGGACATCAGGGACGAGAGAAAGGCTTTCTTCACTCTCTTTGATGGTGAGAGGCCGCTGGACGCCAGGCTCGCTCCGGGAAGATGGGTTCAGGGCTGAACTAAGGTGGGGGTGTGATTAGGCCAGGTCAGGGCCGGGAGAGGTCGAGGTGGTCAGCGAGAGGAAGGGTGGAGCCAGGGTGGGCGAGGTCAGGGCTGGGGCGGAGGCGGGAGGGTCACCGCCGGGCCTGAGCGGAGGCCGGAGCCTGGTAGGGGCGGGGCCACGGCTGGGCGTGGTCCGGACAGTGCCTGCGGTGGGCGGGGCTATGCGGGCGTGGGCGGGGCCTGGAGGGGCGTGGGCGGGCCAGCGAGTGGGCGTGGTCTCGCCTGGGGGCGCGGTCAGGGCCACAGCGAGGCGGGGCGGGGCGGCCCGGGCCTCAGGGGGCTCTTTTCTCAGACACCCAGATGTGGATCTGCAAGCCCACCGCCTCCAACCAGGGCAAAGGCATCTTTCTGCTGAGGAACCAGGAGGAAGTCGCCGCCCTCCAGGCCAAGACCCAGAGCATGGAGGACGACCCCATCTATGACAAGATGTCGTTCAGGGTTCCCCAGGCGCGCATCGTGCAGAGGTGTGGGTGTGGGCACCATGAGGGGCGTCGGTCCAGGTGGTGCCGACCCTGGCCCCCGCTGGTGCCTGTGGCGATCGCAGGGCCCTCAGAGGAGTCCTTTGCCATGGAAGCCTGTGGTGCCCCCCGCAGGGCTCCTGTGTGGCCAGCAGAGGTGGGGTGTTATATCCGGTCAGTGTCGCAGAGGAGATCCCCTCACAGAGGTTTCTGGACACGGAGTAGGGCAGGGAGGGCTTGGCCAGTTTGTCCCCAACCTGGGCCTTGCTCCCCTCTGTCCTGCAGGAAGCCCAGCCAGGGCCAATCTCCCTATAGCCAGCCTCTCCCCTCTCCGCGCCCAGTGTGGACGCCACTCCTGCCACAGCTGCTGTCTGCTGCCCCTCCCTGCCCTCCCTGTCTTCCTCCCAAGCTGCTACTCCCAGCCTCTGGGTCTTCAGACCTGCAGCTTCCTCCACCTGGGATGTCCCCTACCTGCCTCTCCAAAGCTACCCGCTGTTTAAGGCCCAATGTCAGCCCTCCCTCCTCCTCCAGGCAGTCCCTCTTGCCTGCAGGGGCCCAACCCTCCAGGCTCCTGGTGAGAGCTGCACCCTGGGGTGCCCCAGATGCATGCAGTAGGCTGAGATCTAGGGGCCAGGCCCTTCTTCTCAATTCCCTGACCTGTTTAGGTTCAGAAATGTCCCCTTACCAATGGATGTACCCAGAGGAGGGAGCCCACAGGTCACGCCCAGGACAAGTGGCGGAGCACTGGGGAACCGGCCCAGGCCCCACTGAGGGCGAGGGGACACAGGCCAGGCAGGCCATGTGCTCAGCACCCATGTGCCCCCAGGTACATCCAGAACCCGCTGCTGCTGGACGGGAAGAAGTTTGACGTGCGCTCCTACCTGCTCATAGCCTGCACCACACCATACATGGTCTTCTTCGGCCATGGCTACGCTCGCCTCACCCTCAGCCTTTATGACCCCCACGCCAGTGACCTCGGTGGCCACTTGACCAACCAGGTAAGGGCACCCCAGAGGAAAGGGCCCTCCCTGCAGCCTTGGACAAGATCTTTGCCCAGCAATGCAGAGGAGATGCCTGCTGTGGCTCAGACAGGGGCGTGGCCCAGCCTCGGAAGTGACCCAGGCCAGAGGTGGCCCAGTCTTGGAGGTGGTCCAGGCACCACGGTGGCCCAGGCCTAGAAGTGACCCAGGTCAAAGGTGGCCCAGTCTTGGAGGTGGTCCAGGTCCAGAGGTGGCCTGGGATGCTGCTGCCTGCAGTCAGCATGGTCTCTCGCCTTTGGCCACAGAGGGCTTCCTGGTGAGATGACAGAGTGCTGCACGCTGACCTCCAGGCTGGCTCCCTCTGGAGGTGGTGAGGCTTGGGTAGGAGTAGGAGCCAGAGGGCAAGGGGCCTCTGTGAGGACCTCAGTGGAGAGATCCTGTGGGCGGATGTCTCTGTGGAAGGTCCCTAATGGGAGAAGTCTAGGCAGGGCCCCCCATGAGGATCTGTGGGGGTCTCAGTGGAAGAAGGTGTTGTGGGAGGGTCTTGGCAGGCGGGCCCACTGCAGGGTGTGCTGGGGGAGTGGGCCTCTGTGGGATGTCTGGGTAGCTGAGTAGGTGAGGCTCCCTTTAGGGCCCCTCAGTGGGGCAGGACCTCTGAGTGTCCTGGGGCAGTGACCTCCAGGCACCACACTGTCCCCCAGTTCATGCAGAAGAAGAGCCCCCTCTATGTGATGCTCAAGGAAGACACGGTGTGGAGCATGGACCACCTCAACCGGTACATCAACGACAAGTTCAGGAAGACCAAGGGCCTCCCCAGAGACTGGGTCTTTACCACCTTCACGGTCCGTGTGCTCCTCACCCATCGCAGCTGGGGGGGCAAGGGTCAGGACCCCTTAGGGTATGTGAGGGGCCAGGGTAGTGTTTCCGCCTGTACTGGGCTGGGCACGTGGCATGTCAGGCGTCCTTGGGGGGTGCATCTGTATGGGAGAGCGTGTCTGTCTGCGTGTGTAACCGCAGGCTGTGGCTGCTGGCTGCTGTGAGATGTCTCATTTCTCTCCCTCTCACTCTGTCAGCTGCAATAATTCACAAACATAAACTTCACCATTTTAAAGTGTACAGTACAGTGGATTTTAGTTGATTCAGAGAGTTGTGCAATAATTCAGAACATTTTCATCTCCACAAAAAGAAACTCTGTGCCCATTAGTCATCTCTCCCCATTTCCACTCCCCCAGCTTCTGGCCACTACTGATCTACTTTCTGTTCCTATTCTGGATATAAATGGAAGCTACCACCATGTGGCCTTTCCTGGCTTCCTAAGACCCATCCACATTGTGGCGTGTGTTGGTACTTCATTCCTTTTTACGGCTGAGTAATATTCTGGTGTGTGGATCCACCACAACCTGTTTGGATGAACATCTGTCAGTTGATAGACGTTTGGGTTATTTCCACCTTTTGTCTATTATGAATAATGCTGTATGAATATTCAAGTACAAGATTTTTCATGAACATATATTTTCAGTTCTCTTGGATACATACCTAGGAATGGAGTTGCAGGGTCACACGGTAACTCTTATGTTCAACTTTTGGAGGAACTGCCAAGCTATTTCCACAGTAGCTGCATTTCACATTCCCACTTCTCCAAATCCTTGCCAACATTTGTTATTTTTCTTTTTTGTGTGATGTCTCATTGTGAGTTTAATTTACATTTCCCTAATGGTAATGACATTGAGCATCTTTTCATGTGTTTATTGGCATCTGTGTATCTTCTTTAGAAAAATGTCTGTTCAGATGCTTTGTCCATTCTTCCTTGGTGGCTGTAAGAGTTGTTTATATATTCTGGATGCTAGATGCTTAGCAGATATGTGATTTGCAAATATTTTCTCCTGTTCTGAGAGCTGTCTTTTCACCTTCTTGATAGTGTCCTTTTTTGCAAAAAAGTTTTAGAGTTTGATGAAGACCAATTTATCTCTTTTTTCTTTGGTTATTCATGCTTTTGATGGCATATCTAAGAATCCATTGCCAAATCCAAGATTGTAGAGATTTATACCTATGTTTTCTTCTAAAAGTTTTATAGTTTTAGCTCTTACATTTAGTTCACTGACCCATTTTGAGTTAATTTTTGGATATGGCATGTGGGAAGAGTCCAACTTCACTTTTTTGCATGTGGATGTCCATTTGTCCCAGTGCCATTTGTCACAAAGACTGTTCTTGACACATTGTTGAAAATCGATTGACCAAATGTATACAGGTTTACTTCTGGATTCTCAGTTCTATTCCACTGGTGCTTATGTCTGTCCTTAAGACAGCACCACACTGTTTTGATTGCCATAGCTTCGTTCTATTAATGTGCTGTATTACGTTGACTTATTTTCATGTGTTGAACCACTCTTGCATTTCTGGGGTAAATCCCACTCAGATGTGTTATATTATCCTTGAATACACTGCTGGATTTGGTTTGCTAGTACTCCATTGAGTACGTTTGCGTGTACGCTCATAAGCACTATTGGTCTACTGCATTCTTTTCTTGTGTGTTTGTCTACTTTGGGACATATTCCCTCCTCTTCTATTTTTGAGAGTTTGTAAAGGATTCATGTTAATTCTTTAAATGTCTGGAAGAATTTACCAGTGAGGCCGTCTTGCCTGGAGTTTTCTTTATGGGAAGGTTTATTATTATTATTAATTATTACTAACTCTACCTTTGCTTGTCACAGGTTATTCAGATTTTCTGTTTCTTCTTGGGTCGGACTTAACAGTTTGCCTTTCTAGGAATTTGTCCATTTCTTCTAAGTTGTCTAATTTGTTTGGAATACAATTGTTCATAGTATTCTATGAACAATTATAATCCTTTTTAGAGTCATTTTCATCTCTGTGTAAGTCTTTCTTTCTTGATTTTAGTAATTTGGGTCTTCTCTCCTTTTTTCTTGGTCAATCCAGCTAAGGGTCTGTCAGTTTTGTTGATCTTTTCAATGAACTAGTTTGGTTTCATTGATTTTCTCTATTGCTTTCTATTTCTAATCCATTTATCTCCACTCTCATCTTATGATTTCCTTACTTCTGCTTGCTTAGGGTTTAGTTTTCTCTTCCTTTTCTAGTTTCTCAAGGTTGAAGTTTAGGTTATTGATTTGAGATCTTCTTGTTTAATGTAGGTGTTTACAGCCATAAATTTCCCTCTGAGCACTGCTTTCACTGGATCCCATAAGATCTGTGTGTTCTGTTTTTGTTTCATTTTTTGCTTAAGAGTGTTAATTTCCACATATTTGTGAATTTTTTGATTTTCTATCTCATTGATTTCTAACTTCATTCCATTGTGATCAGAGAACATACTTTGTATGATGGCAACCCTTTAAAAATTACTGGAACTTGTTTTATGTCCTAACACACGTCTATCCTAGAGAATGTTCCGTGGGCAACTTCTGCTGGGTGGCGTGCTCTGTAGATGTCAGGTCTAGTTGGTTTTCAGGGTTGTTCGAGTCTTCTGTTTACTTGTTGATCTTCTGTCTATATGTTCTATCCATCGCTGAAACTGGAGTATTGAAGTCTCCCACCATTTTTTTTTTTTTTTTTGAGGAAGATTAGCCCTGAGCTAACTACTGCCAATCCTCCTCTTTTTGCTGAGGAAGACTGGCCCTGAGCTAACATCTGTGCCCATCGTCCTCTACTTTATATGTGGGATGCCTACCGCAGCATGGCTTGACAATCGGTGCCATGTCCACACCTGGGATCCCAACTGGCGAACCCCAGGCCGCCAAGAAGCGGAACGTGTGCACTTAACCGCTGCGCCACTGGGCCAGCCCCTCCTACTATTATTACTGAATTGTCTATTTCTCCCATAAATTCTGTCAGTTTTTCCTTCATGTATTTTGAGGTTCTGTTACTAGGTGCATGTATGTTTATAATTATTACATCTTCTTGATTTATCATTATAAAATGTCCCTTTTTTCCCATAATGTCCTCAATTTTTGTCTCAAAAATCTATTTTCTCTGATATTAATATAGCCATTCCAGCTCTCTCTCTCTCTTTTTTTTTTTTTTTTTTGAGGAAGATTAGCCCTGAGCTAACTACTGCCAATCCTCCTCTTTTTGCTGAGGAAGCCTGGCCCTGAGCTAACATCTGTGCCCATCCTCCTCTACTTTATATGTGGGATGCCTACCACAGCATGGCTTGACAATCGGTGCCATGTCCACACCTGGGATCCCAACTGGCGAACCCCGGGCCACCAAAGCGGAACGTGCACGATTAACCGCTGTGCCACCAGGCTGGCCCCCCAGCTCTCTTTTGGTTTCTGTTTGCATGATAGATCTTTTCCCATCCTTTTACTTTCAACCTCTCTGTGTCTTTGAATCTAAAGTGAGTCTACAGACAGCATATCAAGGGTTTTTTAATGCATTCTGCCAAGCTCTGTCTTTTAATTGGAAAATTTAATCTATTTACATTTGATATAATTACTGATAAGGTAGGATTTACACCTTCTATTTTGCTGTTTTCTTTCTATATGTCTGATGTCTTTTTTTGTTTCTCAGTTCCTCCATTACTGCTTCCTTTTGTGTTAAATGGATATTTTCGTGTGTACTATTTCTAGTTTCATTTCTTTTACTACATATTTTTGAGTTATTTTTGTTGTTGCCCTAGGAATTACCATTAGTATCTTAACTTATAACAATTTAGTTTGTATTAATATCAAGTTAATTTCAATAGTATTTAAAAAACGTCCTTTCTCTATGGCTCCATCTCTCCCTTTACGCTGTTATTGTCACAAATATACATTGTGGGTCCATCAGCATAGATTTATAGTTATTGTTTTATGAAGCTGTCTTTTAAATCAGAATAAAAAAGCAATTAGCAAAAACTACATGTATACTGTCTTTTATATTTAACTACATGATTACCTTTACAGGTGCTATTTCTTCACATGAATTCAAGTTATCGTCTAGGGTCCTTTCACTTCAGCCTGAAAAAAAGGCAATGCTACTATTGATAACCTCTGGTTTTTGTTTTTGTTTTTTTAACGAGAATGTCTTAATTTCTCCTTCATTTTTGAAGGATGGTTTTGCTGGATATAGAATTCTTGGTTGACGGTTTTTTCTTTCAGCATTTTGAACATGTCATCCCACTACCTTCTGGACACCATGGTTTCTGATGAGAAATACGCTGTTAATCTGATTGAGGATCCCTTATGATGAGTCACTTCTCTGCTGATTTCAACATTCTCTTTGTCTTTATCTTTTGAAAGTTTGCTTGTGATGTGGGGATCTCTGAGTTTATCCTACTTGGAGCTCACTGACCTTCTGGGATGGGTAGGTTGTTTTTCATCAAACTTGAAAAACATGAAGTTTCCTGTTATTATCTCTTAAAATATTCTTCCTGTCTCTTTCTCTCCTTTCCTTCTGGGACTCCCGCTGTGCATGCTGGTCTGCTTGATGGCATCCCACAGGTCTCTGTAGCTTTGTTTATCTTTTTTCATTGTTTTTTCTTTCTGTTCCTCAGACTGGATCATCTCAGTCGATGTATTTTCAGACAGCTCAGTAAATTAAGCCCCTCCAGTAAATGTTTTATTTCAGTTATTATACTCTTCAACTCCAGAATTTCTATTTGGTTCCCTTTTATAATTTCTATCTCTTCACTGACATTCTCTATTTGGTAAAACATCGTTCCCACATTTTCCTTTAGTTCTTTTCATGGGAGGTCTTCCAGGGAGCACCCAGACAGACCACAGCACATAACCAGCTTTCCCTGCATGTCAGGTCCCTTCTGCTCTCAGCACTGAGAACACGAGCTCCGTCCCACGCCAGCACTCAGCTGGGGCAAAACTGACCAGGCAAGTTAAAATGCTGCAAAGCTCGCTGTTCTTACCCAGATTCAAGGCTTGTCTTGCATAAGCACTCCTCAGGTTGCTCCAAGCCTTTGGCTAGTTTCCAGAGTTCTGAAAAAGTTGATTCTGACAACTTTTGCCATTCACATGGTTGCTTTTACAAAGCAGCTTCTCTGTGGATGTCCTTCCTCTGCCATTTTGCTGATGTTCTCCTTGTCTCTTCAAACTCACTCCATGAGCCTTCTTCTCCCTGATGTGTCACTGAAATGCTCATTGAGGTCATCACTGACCTCCGTGTTGCCAAACCTGTGGTCAGTCCCCGCCTTCTTCTTCCCTGATCTGTCGGTCACTTTGGACACAGCTGCTCGCCCCGTGGTGCTCTTTCTCCATGGCCTCCAGGACTCTCCCGCTCCACCTCAGCCCTCTATGCTGGCCCCTTGTCTGCTCTCAGGGGCCCAGGGCTCAGCCCAATGTACTGCTCTTTATCTGTACCCATTGGTGACGAAAGTCTCGTGGCTTTAAATTCCATCTATGTCCTTAAGACTCCACATTAAACACCCAGCCTTGACCTCTCTCCCGAACTTGAGCCTTATGTCCCATGGCCTACCAGCACCCCATCTGCAAGCTCACAGACATCTCCGACTCCATGGTGCTCCTCCCCTTCTTAGCTGATGGGGGCTCCGTCCACAGTCTCAAACCAAACACCTAAGGATAACCCGTCATTCCTCTTTTCACAATTCACAGTCCTTTCATCAACCAACCGGGTCAGCCCTACCTCACAATGTATCCAGAATCCATCCCACCACCTCTACCCACCCGAGCCACCACCATTTCTCTCCTGGATTACTGCAATGACTTCCTCCTGACCCCTCAGACTCTCTCAGCATAGCCCCCAGAGGACCCTACCAGGGCTCTGGTCAGATACACTCCTCCTATGCTCCACCCTCCAACAGCTTTGCTCTTGGGGTCAAAGGCAAGGTCCCTCCCATGCCCCTGCGATGGGACTGGTGCCACTCTGGTCTCAAGACCCTCTGCCCCCATGGCTTGCTCCAGCCACTGTGGCCTCTGTTCCTCCAGCACCTCGGGCTGCTCCCACCACAGCTGCTGCTCACGCCCATCCACAGCTCCTCCTTTCAGTGTTCAGTCTTCACTCATGATCTCCTCAGTGAGGCCCGTCCAGACCAGGCTCCTTTTCACAGCAGCCACCCCAGAACCCACCCCCAGCACTGCTTCACCTTCTCCGTCAGCAGTTATTGCTTAGTATGCTGTGCAGAGTGTATCGTGAGGTACTATCACATTTGCTGTCTCTCTCCTGCCATGAGTGACGTAGCCATTCCTCCTAAGTTCTCTTCACTCTTGTAACCCAGTACCTACCATGTAGTAGGAGCTCCACGTTTGTTGAATGAGTACGAGAGTGAATGAGTTTCTGGCTGTGACCCTGTGACTCTGAGAGTGCAAAAGTGTGGGCAGGGGTGGCTGTGCAAGTAAGGGCCCAGGGGGCAGCGCAGGTGAGGGCCCAGGTGGGAGTGCAGTTGAGGGCATGGAGGTAGGTAGGGGGGAGCAGGCGAGGGGTGTGGCTGTTGCTGTTCAGGCCAGGGAGGTACAATCAGGGTCCACAGGTGACTTCCAGTCACCCCTCCCTGCCCCACCCACAGAAGCGGATGCAGCAGATCATGGCCCACTGCTTCCTGGCCGTCAAATCCAAGCTCCAGTGCAAGCTGGGCTACTTTGACCTCATCGGCTGTGACTTCTTGATCGATGAGAACTTCAAGGTACTACTGAGGCGTCCCAGGGCAGGTGGGGCCTGGTATGCAGGTTCAAGAAGGCAGGGCTGTCTGTGCACCCTCTGACCACCAGGCAGCCCTCTGGGGTGGACGCTGCAGCCAGAGTGCTCCCCCTGCCTCAGGCCCTGAGGGTGGTGTGTCCATAAGTCTGCACTCCTTCAGCTGGGGCAGCCCCAAGCCAGATCCTCGGACCCTTAGACTCAGCCCCTTGGGTAAATAGGGGGAGTGAGGCCAGAGAAAAGGAGCCCCCTGCCCAGGGTCACCTGGCTTAATGGGGACCAGGGCCTCAACGTCCTGCTGGCCAAGTGGTGGGTGGGGAGGGATGCTGACCAGTGTTGAGCCCAGGTGTGGCTGCTGGAGATGAACTCCAACCCTGCCCTGCACACCAACTGTGAAGTCCTGAAGGAGGTGATTCCAGGCGTGGTCATGGAGACCCTGGGTGAGGCCCTTGGGTGGCCCCAGAACTCGCAATCTGCCCTCCCACCGCCTGCCTAGTCTTGGATGCTCCATCCCACCCTCTCCCCAAGTTCAGATGCCCACAAACCTAGCTCTCCACCACCCCGAGGGCCTGTGTGGCAACCCCACCCTCTGCTGATGCCCCACAGAAAAGAGGCGACCCTGCCGGACCTCCCCCCTCAGGTGGGGCTGTCCACACCTCACCCCACCTGGGTCCCACCCCTCACCACTCCCTCACCTCCTCCTCTGCCCCCAGAACCTCACCCCAGTCCCCAAAGGTGATGCGGGGGAGGCTGGGTCCCTGTCCCTCCTGTCCCCCCAGCCCATGTCCCCCACTGCCCCTCCCCCCCTCCGCCCAGACCTGGCGCTTGAGACCTTCCAGAAGAGTTTGTGCAGCCAGAAGATGCTGCCCCTGCTGTCGCAGCGCCGCTTCGTACTCCTACACAACGGCGAGGTGGACCCGGGGCCGCGCCCGGGGGGCTCCCGCATTGGCCCCCGCCCGCCTGCCGCAACCCGGTCGGCCTCGGAGCCCGCGCCCCCCGCGCCCCCCGCGCCCCCGCTGCGCGCAGACAGACCGGGCGCGCGCAGGCCCGCGCCCCCGCGGGGCCCCGACGGCGCCCAGGCCCGGGAGCCCTCCCCGCGGCCGGCCGAGGAGCGGCGCAAGAACGCGAGCCACCGGGGCTCGTAGCGGGCGGCCACCAGCGCCCTCTCTGGACCTATAAATGCTACTTTGTTACAAGGGCGACCTTTGTGGAGGTTCAGGTGGCTCGCCTCCCGGGGACGCACCAGGCACCCCAAGACGCCCCCTGGGGGCTTCCCTGGACCCGGACACCTGTCCCTCTGTGCCGCCAGCCCCTACTCCACTGCTGAGACCTGACCTTGGGGAGAAGACAGGGGTCGAGGGATGGGGGGTGGTTCTGCCCTGCAGGAAGGGGAGATGAGCTCCCAGAGTCCCCTACTCTGTTGGCCAGGGGCTGCCTCCACCTGGGAAGCCCCCCAGATCCTGGGCGCCCACACGTCACCCTGTGTCCCTCATCACCAAGGACCCTCCTGCAGCCCTACAACCCACGCGACGCCTACGTCCTGGCTCTCTGAAAGGTGTCCAGTGTCTCTCAGAAAGGATCCAGATCCCCATGGACCCCTATGGATCTCCAAAGGAGGGCTCCCTTGAGCCCAAGAGCATTCCTGAGAGCACAAGGGCCCCCTGCTCTCCACTGCTTCCGATGGCCCCTGATGTTTCCACAGGCAGGGCGCTGCAGAGGCCATGGGTGAGGGTCATATATCATGAAGGGCATGTGGAGCCAGCACTGGCCCACCCTCACCAGGGCCTGTGTGGCCTGGGCGTCCCCGCTTCCTGTGGGCCCAGCCCCCAGGTTAGGGGAGATTCAGGGCCTCTGATGTGTCCCAGCCCCCAGCCACCAAGTGTCCAGGGCCAGCCACATCTCTCTCCACCCCTGCCCCCCAGCCACCCACCCAACCCCAGTCCAGACTCCAGGGTCTGGGCAGTCCCGTCCCCAGGCCACCCAGCTGCACACCCTCCCTCCTGCACCCCATCTCTCAGCCCCACCCTCGTCTCCAAATGGTCACCACCAGGTCACAAACACCCTCCTCCTGGCCCACCCACGCTCCTGACCTCAAATCGGCCCCCGACATCAGCGGGCCTCACCGCAGGGGGCGGGGCCACCAGGGACCCCTTCTCTGCTCTGCGTTGGAGTGCTGGTGGGACCTGGGGGGCAGCAGGCCTGTCCACGCAGCTGTCCACCCCACCGCTCAAGGGGGAGGGCAGCTCCACTCCCAGGGACGCAACGGACACGGCACCGCTAGAGGGCGCCAGGCACCACTGTGTCTCCTGCCAGCCGCTGGAGGGGTGCCACTGGGACAGAGGAGGATGGAGAAGGGAACTGGGGCTCAGAGAGGTAGAGTCAGTGCCTCCAGGTCAAAGAGCCAGTGAGAGGCCCAGGCCTGGGTCTAGGGCTGACCTGTCCACTCGCTCAACCCACCCACCCCACCCCAGTGCACCCTGCTGCACCTCCTCCTTGTTCTGCTGAGGCCTGGAGTGTGGGGTCCCCAGGCAAGAGGCAAGAATCACACTTGTCACTGTGTGACGGGGCCCAGGAGCCCGAGTCCCTGCCCAGTGTGTCTGATGTTCCCTCCACGAGGGCCAAGCTCAGCCACTGCCTGCCCTGCTGCCAGGTGGCTGGCTCTCCGCTCCCGAGGCCGGGAGGGAACAAGACCAGCCTCCGTAGGGGAGGCGGCCTCCTGAGTGGGCTGAGTGAACCAGGTCTTCGGGGTCAGGGCCACGTGCCCTGCTGGCATCCAGGCCACTGCACAGCCACTCACTTGGGTCACCTCCTGACGCCCCCAGGGGCCTCTGTACCCCGTGTCAAGGCTCACGGGCCATCCCCTCCTTCCTCACACCCCACCCACTCCACAAGTCCCTGCCCAAGGGTCCTCTGGCCACACATTGTCTCGTATCTCATGGCCCGAGGCAGCACCAGTGCTGTCCCAGAACATTCCCACTGTCCTCACTGGCCACAATGGGGCTGCCCCAGCTTCAGCCAGCCTACGAATTGCAGAGTCCTCAGGAAGACACCCTCCTCGCAGCCTCCACCGTCCCTGGGCCCTGAGTGGGTGCAACGACCCACGGGACCTGTGACGAGAAGTGCCCGTTGGCAGGGTGACCTGCCCTGTCCTGACTGAGCCCCCATCCTGGGCTCCCCCAAAGGCCTGGACTGTCTGCTGCTCTTGGGTCCCTGGCGCCCCCTGAGAGCCCGAATGTCCATAAATGAGGTTTCCTGAGAACCTCTGCTGCGCACTCGTCCCCCAGAGGTGATGCCACCCTCGCCCCCTCTGGATCCTCCCCAGCCCCAGCCAGCCCACATTCAGCCTCCAGAGTGCCCTCACCAGGACCCCAGAACCGTAAGGCCCGAGCACCAGGGAGAGATGGGCAGGAGACGGAGTTTGGGGTGCTGTGGGCATCTGGAGGTGCGGGTGCACCCCAGGACTCAGACGACAGGATGGGCGGCAGACACAGTGGAGGCGGGCGGGATCCAGCAGGGGACTGGGCAGCAGGGGAGGGCAGCTTCCCCAGGGCCCAGGACAAGGCTGCATGCATGCAGCTCCTGGAAGCCGTGTCCATCTCTCCCCGCCCCCACCCCCCAACCCCATCTCCCCAACGCTCCCTCTCCCCCTCCTCCCCGGATGAGTCCTGAGTAGGTGGGGAACTCAAGAAGCCTCTTCCACCTGCAGAATGTCTGACGGGTCAAGCTGCCCTTGGTTCTGACCCAGGCATCACCCAGGGGCCTCCACCATCCCTGCAGCCTCCATCTTGAGGTCTGCGCAGCACAGACCCTCACGCTGGCGCTGCTGGGGCCTCCCTCAGCCCCTGGCAGACAGGGCCTGGGTCTGCTGGGCACCTTCTAGCGGCCACGGGTGTGTTTCAGCCAGACAAAGAGCCCGTGGAGCCCCGAAGACTCAAAGGACACTCCCAGCCCTCTCCCCTGGAATGTGTCTCGGAGAAAGGGGTTTGGAGCAGCCCTGGGCTGAATCACCGTCTCTGGAAATCACCTCACCTTCTGAAGCTTCCTGGAAAGGTGAGACATGTGGGGGTGGGGGTGTCTGCCTCTCCATCCCAGACACAGCCACTTCTTGAGGGGAGGGGGTCCAGAACCCTGAAAACCACCACAGGGGACGGTTGAAGAGGCAGCCCCTCCAGGAGCAAGTCCTCTGCTGACTCAGCTGGGGGAGGAGTGGCTGTGCTCTGCATGTTCAGGACACCACGGGTCAGGGGGACAGGAGTGATGGCCCCAGGTCCTGGTCCGGGTCCCTGAGTGGCCAGGCCTAACGTCATGGGCCTGTCTGACCAGTGGGTGCACATCCCAGCACCTGGGGGCAGCCTGGGACCACCTGTCCCTGGACAGCCCCCTGCAGCTGTCCTAGGACTGGGGCTGGGAGGGGGCTGATGTCTAGTTCTGTCTAGGATGGGTCCCCTCCCTGCCACCCCATGATCTCTCTCCACTTGGGGGGTCCCACACTGACTGAGTCAAGCTCTCAGTACCAGCGGGGCAGGGACTTCTTCCAGCAAGGTGAGGGCTGAAAGCTGGGTGGAGAGCTGCTGTGGCCGGAAGCACTTCTGGGAACACAGGGTGGCCTCTGGGCCCTTATCTGAGGCTGAACAGACACTGTGGACCCTGACCCCAGGGGGAGGGGCTGTGGTTTTCCGGGACAGCTGGAGAGCTGCTCCAGTGGGGTGGGAGTTTCCAGGGGAAGCGGCTAGGGGCCTGGAGAGGCCTGGGCAGTCTCACAGTGGGGACTTTCTCCAGGCTGGGCTGCCAGGAGCTGCAGGTGGCACATACCTGCCACACTGCAGGAGGCTAGGCTGAGGGGGGATGGGAGCCTCTCAGCACCACCTCATCTCAGACCAGCCCTCACCCCTTCCCCACGTGCAGCCCCCCCATTGCCCTAGGCGCTGCCCCCCATTGCACACCGATTCCCTCTTCCAAACTTGGATGAGGCCACCCCTTCCTAGGACCCCTGGCATAGCCTCTGCACACCCATGCCCTGGGGTCTCCACTGACCCTCCAGCCTCAGCCCTTGTGCCCCCAGGGCCCTGCACAGGCCCTTTACAGGCAGAGTTGTCCTATGAATCACCGTGACTGGGCCCCTTCATCCCCTCTCTGCTCTGGGGGCTCTGAGCTGGGGCACAAGAGGGCCCAGCCGAGCTCGCAAATCGAGGGGCCCTGGGGACTCTGAGGAGGCTGCCTGGGGAGGGACGTGTGCCCAGGAGAGAGGGAAAGTGGGAGTGGGCCGAGGGAGCCGGGATGACCATGAGATGGGGCAGGTGTAGCCAGGTCGGGTAGAGGGCATCCCTGCTGGGGGTCTGTGGTGGGAAGGGGGTGGATGCTGCAAAAGCTCCCGAGACTCCCCAAAGCCCTGAGCTCCCTGAGCCAGAATCCTCCTGCCCCCCCAAGCCCAGCCAGACCCTCCCACCCTCCTCCGAGCCTGAATCCAACTCCGTCCCCACCCTCGCCTGACCTGGGCCTCGGAATCCCCCACCCCACTCTGCGTCAGACCTGACGCCCCCTCGCTGACATTCCGGGCACCGTGGCTCCACGAAGGCCGCCCACGAGGAGTTTCCGGGCTGAGTCAGCCTACCACGCATCACCCGAGAGGCCCCTCGGGACCATCGCGGGCAGGCCACCAGCGGTTTCTCAGGAAGGCCTGCGGACAATCTGACTCTGGGCCCCTGCCAGGGCAGCTGAGCCAGGCCTGGGGACCCCCAACCCCCGGGGCAGCCTGAGCGGCACCTGGGGAGGGTCCAGGCCAGCTGTGAGCACCCTGTGGGGGTGGGGCAGTCAAGTGACCCAGGCAAGGAGCAAGCCCCAAGACAGCCAGCTGCCCCAGGGAGGGTGGGCGAGGGGTGGGCAGGACAGGAGACCTGGCCTGGAGACAGAAGCACACCCCCCACCTGGTGTGGCCAGCACTGCATCCCCCGCTGTCCCCGTAATGGCCAACCAGCTCACCAGGCATGTTTTTGTTTGTTAGCTAATTTGCCTGGATCCTCACCCAGAACTCAGGCTCCACGGGGTCCCAGAGCCCAGGACCCAGGAGGCACTGAGGAGGTGCTCAGGGATGAGTATTTCTCTTGTGGGTAAAGTCACGAAGGAGTCGTCCTTCAAGGGGCAGAATTGGGCTGTGCTGTGCTAGGCCAGTGGGGTGATGCGCCAGGAGGGACCCATGCAGATCCCCTCTTCCCCCACCTGCTACCAGCTGCTTGGCCCACCCGGCCCCCTGCCACGGGGACTGGAATGGGGTGAGGACCGATGAGCTGGGGAGGCTCTCCCGGGCCGCGTGCAGGTGGAGGGGAGGACACAGGCTCTGTGTCTGTGTGTCCCGGGGAAGACACAGGAGAGGGGTGCTGGAGCGTTGGGGCTGCAGGCAGGTGGCCAGGTGTGGTGTGCTGCACCTGAGGGCACTGCTACTGACACCAGTCTCCACCGGCCCGCCAGCCACGCCCTGGACGGCTGTGCCAAGGAGTCCTTATCAGTTCTCTGTGGGGTGTCAGCCTGTCCAGGAGGCGAGGAGGGTGCTGCTCACCTCCACTGGGCGGGACCCGGAACCATGGCCCGAGGGAGCAGGGCAGGGAGAAAGGGAGCTGCCCTGCCCACCAGGAAGTGTGGGTGTAGAGACTGACCTTGCCCTGGACTCAGGCCTGAATGACATAGGGCAGGCACCTCATAGGGGCCAGCAGGCTGGGCAGCCAGCCCAGAACCCAGAGTCCAGAGCAGCAGTGGCCCAGAGACCAGACACAGGCCCAGGACCCAGCTGTCCCAGCGTGTGACAGGCAGACCAGCCGGGGGGAGGGTTTGGATAGGCTAGCGTGGAGCACAGAGGGCAGGTGTCCAGCATGGCACCCCTCCTCCAGGAAGCTTTCCAAGCCCCATGGTCCCTGCTGAGCGCTGCACCCTGGGCTGGAATGACCCCGACTTCCGCCCCACCGCAGTCCTGCCTAGGCTGGGAGGGGACTGGGGCACCATTGGGGGAGGCCCTGGGGCCCTCACCTCATCTCTCTGTCGCCCTACTTCCGCCAGCACACGTCCACTCAGATCACTGAACAGTGTTTATTGAGTGCCGCCTGCAGCCAGCTCCTGTGCTGGGCACGGCCTCCCATCCTGAGAACAGGGGCCCACAGACCCCACCCCAGCAGGGCTGCCAAGGGACAGAGGCAGCCACCGATATGTCTGTGTCGCCCATGGTGTCCGGTCACTGCTGCTGCCTCTTCTGCATGGTCCGGGGGACTAGTCCTAGTCACCACCCCACCCACTTCCACCATCGTGGGGAGCAGGGCCGGGCCCGAAGCAGGGCACAGAGTCCTTGCTCCTGAGGGCCAGCCCTGGGAGGGCTCCTGGGAGGGTCTGGCTCGGGGTCCACTGACGGAGGATGGCCAGGCCTCACACCCACAGGTCCCCCAGTTGGCCCTTGTCCTCTGACAGCTGCTCCCCCCGCTCCTCCTCAGGGAACTGGCAGCTGCAGGCATCCTCAGCTGGTGGTGGTGCCTCCAGGAGCAGCTGGGTCTCTGCAGAGGGGCTGTGGTCAGCAGGGCGGCCGGAGGTCCACCTCCCCTGCCCCAGGGCACCACTGACCTGTGGGGCATCCTCGCTGCCTCTTCAGCTGCCAGACGTGCAGGCCAACCTGGGCCACAGTCAGGATCAGGATGCAAGTGGCCACCACAAGGAGGACGACAGTCAGCAGGTCGTGTGGTTCAGTGGGCAGCGGCCATGGGCTGCACACGGCATTGTGCGTCTTGTTCCCGGGGAATGTGGTGGGAAACCCAAACTGGGAGCAGCTGGGACACAAGGACACAGAGTCCTTGGTCAGCCCAGGAGGGACAGGAGAGACCCCTCCCTCAGTGTGGGCTCGACTGCCCGGCCGGCTGGGGCGCCCAGGACTCACTCTGCCCACGGTTTGCAGCGGCCCTCGCGACCCCCAGAGAAGGTCCCTGCAGCACAGTCCACACATGTGAAGCCAAAACGAAAACTCCCTGGAAACAGACAGACCGACACTCAGGCTTTGGGGTGGCTCAAGCGGGGTCTGTCTGGGGTCCAGCAGAACAACCCCACACCCTCGTCCATTTGACAGAGGCCTCTGACGCTCGCAGTGCTGGGACCCGGGGTACACCAGCGCCACGTGCGCCCCATTCCAGGGCAGGCGTCATGGGGCAGCAGCCTCGGAGGACCTGCGGCTGCGAGCCTGGGCTGCATGGAGGCTCCCGGGGGCATCAGGACCCTCACTCTGGACAGAGAAACCCAGGCTGAGCGGGAAGGACTCCCCAAAGCTGCACGGGCAGCAGGTGCCATGACTCAAACTCGGGCCGTGGTGCTAAGCGACAGAGCAGCCCCGACACTTGGGTTTTGTGGCACCTGCGATGCTGGCGTCTGCTGCCCGAGGACATGCCAGTCCTTCCACACTTACACACCACTCACCAGACACCTGCCCCACGAGCTCTGGTTGCACCCCTGGTCCGCCCCCTTGGCCTGCTTGGGGAGCAGCCGCCAGCACCTTACCGTGGGGCTGTGCCTCCTGGCCTGGCGGGCATGGGTGGTGCTGGCAGCTTGTGCACCGCGGGTCGGCACAGTGGAACTCAGGCTGGACACACGTGCAGTTCTGCTCAGGACAGACCTCGCCTGGAGGGAGGCACGCCAGCCCTCTCAGCAGCTGGGCCGAGCCCTCCCTCCCTGGGGCTCCCGCCAGCCTTCCACAGGAACGAGGTGTCAGGCAGGGCAGCCTGGAGCCCCCCGCCTCAGGCAGCCCCAGGGGGCAGAGGCACCTGTCTGGGAGCCAGGACTCTGCACTGGACCAGCAGTGTCCGCCCGTCCTGGATGCCCAGCTCCTCAGCCCACAGGGCCTGGCTGCATCCCCCCACTGTCCTGAAGATACTCCCACCCAGGGTGACTGTGACTCGGCATGTGACAGGAGCTGACCCTGTGGACACGAGAGTCACCTGGGGCCTGTGCCCCTCCTGCACTGCCCCCAGCAGCCATGCCCCTGGAGGTGGCCTGCCTGTCCTTCCCTGCATCACTGTCCACCACTCCCACCACACAGCCTCCCCTTCTCACCCGCCCAGGCCCCAGCAGGTGACGCTCTGGGTTGTTTTCCTGCAATATTTGTCCCCAGACTGGCACATTCCACCTGCCCCTCACCCAGGTGGGAGGCAGGGGGCGGTGAGGCAGAAGGCGGTGGGCTGTGACCCCAAACTGGGCAGGCAGTGGTCTGGGTGATGGCCAAGGGCTCACTTCCCACTCAGTAGGAACCAGGACAGCCCTCCTCCACCTCGGGACCCCAGCAGGGTCTTGGGAAAGGGTCCCGCAGCCCTGGCCCCTGTCTCCTCCTGGGGCCACTGGCCTGAGACGATCGAGCGCCGCCTCCCCCCGCGAGACTGCTCTGGGACCCAGGGCTCTGGACCCGGAAAGCTTGCCGGCCGCCGCCGCGGGCCGGGTCTGAGCACGGGCAGGGGGCGCTGCAGGTGGCCCTCGGGCTGGGCGCCTTACCCGGGGCGCAGGAGCGGCAGCAGCGCGCGTCGGTCCCCGTCCCACGCAGATGGCGGCCGGGCCCGCAGCTGGGACCCCCGGCGGCGCGGTGGCCCAGGCCGAGCGCGCACAGCAGCGTCAGGCCGCACAGGGCCACCCGCGAGCCCCTCGCCCGCATGGCCCCCGCCGCCCCCTCTGAGCCGCGGAATTTAGGAGGCCCGGCTCCGCCCCCCAGCGGGACACGCCCAAACCTGTCCGCAGCCGCGCCTCTGCCGCGCCCCAAGGGGCGAGAAGGTGTTCCCAGCGGGACCTCCAACACCCGCGACTCCGGAGGAGCTACTATGTGTGATTGTAATGGTGGGTACGTGTCATTTCACATTTGTCGAAACCTCAGAATGCACGGCGCCCCGCGACCCCACTGCAAGCTGTGGGCTCTGGGAGACGATGCCCTGTGGGTGCAGGGCCTTAGCTGTAACCAACGTCCCTCTGTGGGGTGTGGACAGTGGGGGAGGCGCTGCATGTGGGGGGATATGGGAATCTCTGTACCTTCCCCTCAGTCTTGCTGTGAACCTAAAACTGTTCTAAAAAATAAAGTGTATTTTTTTAAAAATGTACGGACCCGGGTGGGACCCTCAAGGGGGCGGGGTCTCAGGACAGGCTTCAGGTGAGGAGGGGGTGTTCAGGAGACACACTGCAGGGTGATCTGGGGGGCCCTAAGTGTTTATGCCTTTTGCCCAGGAATTCCCACGTAGAAACTAAATATGTCCCAAATGTGTGTGCGTGTGTGTGTGTTGTGGGGGGGACACAACTACATCCCCAGCCGTGTCACAGGGGGCGCGAGGGTGGGGGGGTCAGAATGTTTTCTATGCAAATCCTGTGGCCACCAGGTCTGGAGGGATGGGGTGTGGGCGAGGGCCGTGGGGTCGGTGCAGGAGGCGGGTGGCAGACGATGTCCTGAGTCATCGCAGGTGGGCAGCGCCCAGGGTCGGGCTCTCAGGGGATCCCCCAGCGGGGCAATTTGCTGTGCCCCCTCCCTCCTGGCTGAGGCCCCTTCCCACCTCCAGCTTTCTCGGGAGGCCCCACAGGCTTTCAAAGATCTTCAGGGACCCCAAAAGGAGATGGAATGAAGTCCCTCATCCTCTGTGAAGCCCCAGACCTGAGCCCACGCCCGCCCTGGCGGATCCGCACCACAGGACGGAGCCCATCAGGGCTTAGAGCCCCTGGGAGCCCCGTCACACCCTCAGCCCAGGCACCTCCTCGGGACTTGGGGTGCTGGAAAGGGCTGGCGAGGAGACGCCAGGGCAAGGATTGAACCTCAAGGACCTGAAGCTCGGGGAGGAGGCAGCTTGTCCAGGTCCAGCTCTGACCACTGGACCAGCTCCAACCCAGATCTCCTCAGACAAATCCAGTCTCCTTGGAGGCTGTGGAGGGCCCCTGACGGAGCTCTCGAGCCACAGAGAGCTCACCGTGAGGCTGTCCCTTGTCTCTCTGAGCCTCAGTTTCCCCATGTGGCATGGAGGGGTTCTGTGGCGCTGCCTCCTCCAGTAAGCCTCTCTGGATTGCCCAGCTTATTTCCCTCCAGCAGAGGTGCAGGGGGAGCTGAAATGCTCGGGGAGCGGGGCAGGAGCCTCAGGGTGTGACCATGGCTGCGCCCATGGCTGGAGGTGTGGTGACAGCCACAATGTGGGCAAACCCAAGAGAACTTATTCAAGCCCCTTCGAGACCTGCAGCCGCCACCTCACCTGGGGCAACAAGCGTCCTTCTTCCGAAGGAACCGACAAGAACGAGCAGTTGGTGACTCCGCTTTGCTCTCCAGCCTCTCCTCAGAGAAAGGGGGGGGGGACTCCAGGGTGGTGGCAGCTCCAGGCTGCCAGAGGGCCGGGGGTCCAGAGGCCCTCTCTGAGGAGCCCCAGGGTCTCTGTTCAGCTCCTCGGTGGGAAGGTGGGTCTGAGCGCTGGGACAGGACGGGAAGGGAGGCCATCTGGCCTGACCTGGACGCTGGGTAGAGGCGGAGAAATGGGCAATTCTGGACCTTCTTCCGCTGCCCATTTTAAAGGCCTGAGAAGTCAGGTCTGTGCCAGCACAGGGTCACCCAAGGTAAATGCCCAGTATACTGTGGCCCAAGAAATTATGATAAATCCCCTACAAATGATGCTTGCCAGACCATGTCGTGCATTGGCCGGTCCTTCTGGAAGCAGGGACAGAGTTAGAACCTTCTGGAAGTGGTGTGGGGGGTGCGAAGGTGCAGAGGAGGAAGCTGGGCTGGGCAGGAGGACATCCACTGTGGGGTCCTGTGGGGAGAGGCCGGCCCGGCCCAGCAGGCACCAGGAGGGGAGGTTGTCCGCGGGTGGGGCCCGGCCCTTCGTGACAACCATCACACGCCACGGACATCAGAGCGCCTGAATCCTGTGCCCACAGAGATGGTGGCTGTGAGTGGGGCCCTCCAGAGGCAAGAGTGACGCCAGCAAAATGTCAGTGCTGGCGTCGGCCTTCCTGTCCCAGCAACTCCGGAAGGCCCCTCCCGGCCCAGCCGCAGGCTGCGTGAGTGAGCGAGTGTCTGTGACCGGGCAGTGGGGCGAGAGGAGATTTTTATCTGCTTGTCTGTATTTTCCAATGCTTTATGAGCGTTTCAGCTCCCACGAGTAACACACGTTCATGGCAGCTGAGGGTTCACAGGGAGCCCTGGCGTTAACCAGAGAGGCCATGGTGGGTGTGGAGAGAGCCCAGGGGCACACCCAGCAGGGCAGGAGGGGGCACCAGGCGGGCCCTGGCGGAGGGGCCGGGTGGGGAGTGTGCTCAGGGGCAGTGTGGAAGCTGAGAGCAGGTGACCAACATCTGTGAGGCAGACGAAACAGCGGGCTGGACAAGGAGCCTGGCTGGGGGAGAGATGGGAGGTCTGGCGGGGAGGTTCTTTCCCATGACCTTCAACCTTCCAGGCCCCAAGGACCCAGCCCCCCAGCCCCCAGCCCCACAGCCCCTCCTGGGGACCCCTAGCCTCTGTGCTGCCCTGGAGTCAGTGGTGCCAACTGCTGCCTGTCTCAAGGGCAGGGATGACGTAGTTTTGCCCCCTGCTGAATCCTGCTCCAGAGGCCAGGGACGGGCAGACGCTGCTGGCCAGATGCAGGATGGCTCGGTCTTCCCTTCACAGCAGCGGGAGGTTCAAGGGAAGGGTTCAAGGAGAGAGGGGTTGGATGGGCCTCTGCGGCGACTTTGGGGAGAAAGCTGACCCAAGAAACAAGGAGAGGCTGGGGGCGCTGGGGTTCCGCCTAAAGCAGAGCCCTGAGTCCTCACGGACCAAGTGTCCGTCAGGAGGCCTTTGGCTGAGAGATGCCGCCAGCCGTGAAGGGCATTCACCACCTGGCACCATCAGGATACCCCAGCAGGAGGCGGCGGGGGGTCGAGAACCTTTCTCTGCTCTGCCACACAGAAGGCAAGTCCTAGTCAGTGGGACTGGAGGGCCTCGGCCAGCAGGAGCGGGAGGGGGCAGCGGGAGAGTGAGGGAGCCAGAGGGGAGCCTGCCAGGCCGCCTGCCAGGAGGCCGCACACGGTCACAGTGAACCCGTGCAAAGGTGCCAGGGCCTCCAGGGCTCTCACTCACCAGTAGAGCCAGCCTCTCACGCCTGGGTGGCGTTTTCTTTCTGGCTCGTGGTACAGTACAAACACCGAGGGTGGGGCCTTCGCCTCCCGTGCCGCGAGGACGTGAGTCGTGGCTTGTGGTTTCCCTCACGCGGGTTGGTCACACACCCATTGAGCTCCTGCGGCTGATCGGGCTTCCTGTGCACTCTTCAGCCTCGGCTTCAGGGGAGCTTTTTAAACCAGGTGCAACGTGCGTGGCGAAGGGCCTTTCACCAGTGGGCACCCATGTTCTAGGACGCTGGCCCAAGGCCCGCCTGCAGCCCAGGGCGGGCTCTGGCCCCAGACGGCGGGTGGCTCGCTGCCCCTTGGCCTTGCCTCCACACCGGGAGGTGCTGCGTGGAGCAGGAGCACCCACCCTCAGTGCTGGCCGGCCGGCCCCCTCTGAGCGTGCTGCACTGTCCTTGTCCACTCTGCTCTCAGTGGACGCTCCAGCTTTTCCACTTTGGGAGCTTTTTGCATAAAGCTGCTATGCACGTGTTTGTTCACGCCCCAGTGGACAGAAGTGATGCGGCCCTCGTACCAGTTGCCCGGCATTAACCCAGCACGTGTGGTGTCAGAGTCAAAGGCGCTCAACCCCCTCACTGCTTCTTTGAGTTATGTTCTCCTGTAAATATCAGTTTCTTTGACCTTTGTATCCTTGAAGTTTGTTACAGGGAAACTGATATCCAGCGAAGAGCAAGCAGCTGAAGCTCCCCAGACCCCAACTCCTCGGCTTCCTGGCGCCAGTATCCACCACCCACCAGGGAGGCAGACAGCCGAGGACACCCACCTGCGGACGCCCCTCTCTGGCATGTCTCCCTGCAAGGAGCCTCACAAGGCCAAACGCAGGCTGGTGGGAAGGCGCCCGCCAGCACCGCCACAGGCTCCCTCCCCACAAGCAGCTGCACTCCTCGCAACCTTTAAAACCCCTACCTCTCATCTTTCTGGGAAATGAATTTGAGGGCTTACTCTCGTCTCCCAGCTGAGGTCACCCGAAATAGACCCCCTGCCTTGCCATCAGCCTGGCGCTCCAGTTTCTTGTCTGGCCCCTCTGGTGTGGCTGGTAAGGAACCTGTGTTTGTGTCTGGTAGCACAACCAGTTCCCCAAAGTGGCTGCTACCTTCAGGCCCACCCATGGCCTGGGAGTGTGAGCGCCACCCACTACCAGGGACTCCCCAGTGGCACTCGGCCCTGGACCCAGAGCACACCAAGTGGACCCTGGGGGACGTGGGGCCCTGCGGGCACTGGTGGGGAGTCTTGGGGGTCACCACGCACTCAGGTTTAGCAGGGCGCAGGTCCTGAGGGGCCAGGAGAAAGAAGAAACGGACACTCGCTCTCTCTCCTCAGAGGGGCACACGGAGACACGAGGGTGGTCCTCAAATGCCCCGTTTGGGACCAGGGCCTCAGGCTCCCACCACTAGCACCTGCCCAGGATCCCTGCCCATGCCCTCTCGACTGGCCCCAGTGCAGGGCCGTGGGTCCACTCCCCCAGGGTCAGGATCTAGTCGCATTAGCGGCTTCTGCATTTGCCCAACAAGCCGATAGCGTTGTCCCTCTCCCAGCACATTTATTTTGGCCTCCCCTACACACAGGGACTGGGATGGGCCCAGAGAATGGGGAAGGACAGCGGCCCTGGGGTCTCGGAGTGGTCTACTCGAGCCCCCTGCCCCACACCCCTTCGTCGGTTGGAGACCCCACCCCAGCCCCCTGGTGCCATCAGAGACCCACATCTGCCAACGTCATTTATTGGGGCACCACCCTGAGCAGGGAGTATGCACAGCATACATAGCAGAGCCCTAGGGGGCCAGCCCAGGAGCACCTAAAACGGAGCAGGGCAGGGTGACAGGCACTGGGGCCATGGGGTGACAAGGTCACAGGGTCATGGGGCAATGGGATCATAGTGTTATGGGGCCATGGGCAATGGGGTATGGGACAATGGGCTGATGGGCTGATGAAGTGATTAAGTGATGGGGTGACAGGGCAAGGGGGTGACGGGTGATGGGATAATGGGGTGATGGGACAATGGGGTGATGGGGTTATGGGTCATAGGTTGATGAGGTGACAGGGCGATGGGACAATGAGGTGATGGGGCAAAGGGGTGATGGGGTGATGAGGTGTTGGGGTAATGGGCAGTGGGTTGTTGGGGTGATGGAGTGATGGTGTTGGGATGATAGGGCAATGGGGTGATGGGGCAATGGGGTGATGGGGTGCAGCGGCCTGCACCTGGGAGTGCTCCCACTGCCCATGAGATCCGGTGGACCCTCTGGGGCCCCAGCCTGGAGAGGAGGCACTGGCTCCACCCCAGCAGACGCTGCTCAGATCTTGGCCAGGGTGGAGTTTGCATCAGCATGCTCCTCTTGGATGGGGGTCCGGAAGCTGTTTCCTCCTGGGGAGGAGGAAGGCATGATAGGTGGGAGGTGGGCAGGGGTCTCACCCCTCCAGGAGGCAGCTGGGCTGGGGCCCATGGTGGGCACTCACCGGGGGGCTTGGGGACGTTGGGTGGCAGCCTCCAGGCCCTGTGGTGCAGGAACAGGGCCAGCACAGCAGCCACGGGGGCAAGTAGGCCCAGGCCCAGGGCCAGGCCCAGGATGGCGGCCAGCTCAGGGCCTGCGGGGAGGCAGGGCCTGCTGGGGTGGGGTCCACCACAGGACAGGGTCCACCACAGGAGGGCCCTAGTGAGGCAAGAGGGCAGCTCCCCCCATCCCCCATTTTGGGTTGAAGGAAGGCCCTACTGGGGTGAGGCCAGGCCCACTTACCCCTGGGAGGCTCTGTGGGGGGCGTGGAGGGCCCCTGTGAGACCCTAGGCCAGGAAGTGGTGGGCTGGGTGGTGGGGGCCCAGGCTGGGGGACCCTGGGTCTCCCAGGGTGGTGTGGCTGGAGGGCTTCTGTCCTCACAGACAGCATCCGAGCTATTGCTGGCCAGCTGCAGAGTGCGCTTTCCCACCGAGGTACAGCTGAGGGGGGCAGGGGTGTTCATCAGGCCAGAGGCCCCTTGACTCCTACCCAATCGATCAGATGGGCCCAGGACTGGGACAGGACTAAGGAGATGTGAGGAACCATGGGGGGTCCACCCTGGGTCATTCAGGCAGCATCAGATTCCAGACCAAATGTGGCCAGGAGAGAGGCCAAGGACCCTGCCCAGGCCCCCACCCCCCAGGAAACCTCATCCCACCCTGCAGGGTCTCCAAAGCCCCCTGCTCTGCCTCCCACACCCTCATCCCCCCATTCCTTCTTGTTCCCTCTGCTCCCCACACTGGCTGCTCCTGATCTTCTGCCACCTGCACCTTACACTCCCGACCCAGGCTGGCTCTTCTCTTCCTGCCCCCACCACGTATGCCCTGCAAAGACAGGAGCCTCCCAGCTGTGGGGGGGAGGGTCTCACATGCTCCCGGGGCCTGGGCTGGGATCACACAGGCTCCCCACTCCAGCCCAGCAGGAAAGCCAGTGGCAGGAGCATGGGGGCAGGGGCCGTGGAAGGCCAGGGGTCATGGGAGCCGGGGCCATTGTAGGGGGCAGGGGCCAGGAGCTCCCCCAGCCAGTGGCTTCCTGCTCCTTGGCCTGGCCCCCCGTTCCAAGGCACCTAGGCCACCTGAGCCCTCCAGCCCTAGGAGACTCACTTGGTCCAGGGCTTGCAGGCCTGGTTGTTGCCCGGAGAGAAGTGTCCTGGGGGGCACGGGGCACAGTCTGCAACAAAGACAGCAGGACAGGCTCTGCCCATCTGCAGCTGCTCTGGGGGCCTGGATGCTGCAGCTACTGGGGGCTGGGCCTGTGGGCACTCACCCCCCATGGGCCCCAGAAGCCTCTCCCTGCCCACATTCCTCCCACTGGCCCTGATCCAGATCCCCCTACCCCCATCTTGGCAGACCTGTTGGAGAAGTGGCATTTGGCCTGGCCTGGGGTGACAGTTGTGTTAAATGGGGAAGTGACAGCATGTAACGTAAGGATGTGCCTCTCTTAGACGTTTCCCAGGGCCCCCTCAGGCACATGCTGCCCCCCACCCCTGGCTCACCAACTCCCAGCTTGTAGCCATGCTTGGGCTGAGTGCCAGGCCGGCAGCGGCAGACGGTGTCCTGTGTGGATGTGCATCTCTGCTTGGGTTCGCTCCCACTTCCTGAGGCGGCGGGGCACAGTTGGCAGGGTGACCGGGATGCCAAGCAGGCTGGAGACCTGAGGCCCGGGGTCCGCAGCAGCCTCCCCAGACCAGCTGCCCCCTCACAGCCTGCTGGCCCCTGGTTCTCTCCAATCCCTGGACACCGTGTCCCTCCTGGCCACATTGCCCCGGGGACGGCCCTGTGGCAGCTCCAGCCTCCCTCCCCACACTCCCTCCAGCCTGCAGTGGGACCCTCTGTGGCCCTTGGCTCCCAGGTCTAATCCCCGACAGGCCGTGTGGCCCACACATGCTCCACGTGGCCTCAGCCCCCATGGGAGGAGGGAGATGCCCCTGGGGGATGCCTCGGCTGCTCACGGGACCCCCAGGGCGGAGCAGACGCCCTGTGGTCTAGGGTTTGTTTCTGTGGCTTCTGTGAAGGTGGGTGCTGGGCGGGCCAGGGTGCGGCGGGCTGGGCACTCACTCTGGTTGCACTGGGTGCAGGGCTTGCAGGCCTCGTAGTTTGTGGCCTCGTTGTAGTAGCCGGGCTTGCACGGGAGGCACACCGTGTCCTTGCGTTGGGTGCAGCGGCTCTCCATCCCGTACCCTGTAGCGGGAGGCCAGGGTCGGGACTCGGCGCAGCCGGGCCCTCCCATCCTGGCAGCCCTGCCCAGCCTCTGGCTGGCCCAATGTCCCAGGTCTGGCTCCAGGTCACCCAGCACCCTGTCACCCTGAGTCCACTTGCCCCACAACACCTGTGCCCTGTGACCCCATCTAAGTGTCCTGTCCCCATGTCCCCTGTCCTCTCATCCCCATGTCCTTCATAGCCATGTCCCCGTGTCCCTGCAGGTGCCCCTCCCCGATTCCATGGCCAGGCCACTCACCTGGATCACACTCTTGACAGCACCTGCCGCCACTGGGGTAGGTGTTCCCAACACAGTTTTGCCCGGCTGCAGCGCCCAGCACAAGTCCGAGGAGCAGGAGGGCTGCACAGGGTGCCCTGGGCCGCTGAGCCTCCACACACATCCTCATCTCCGCTGGCGGCGCAGGAGTCTGGGGTTTTTCCTTGCAGGATGTGGCTATAAGGGCTGCGGGGGAGGGGTGGGGCGGGCAGGAGGAGGAGGGGGCCAGGAGGAACGAGGCCCCAGGAAGGGCTGGTGCCCCCAGACCCAGGCCGGTGGCGGAAAAGCAGCTTGTCTGGGCAGCCCCCCAACAGACTGTGGCTTTCTCCTCTGCCCTGGGCCCTGGGGTCCCCAGCCCCTCGGGCCCCCAGCCCCTCAACTATACCCAGTGATCTCGGGCTCAGCCCAGCCAGCAACTGGGCACCAACCCAGACCCCTCCTGCAGCGTGCAGACCTGGGGCCAAAGTACGGACCCCGCCAAGGCGCCAGGCCGGATCCTCCAGCCCATCTGGTCTGCACCCACCCCACACACTAGACTCCTCCCACTCCCCTCTCACAGGGAAGGTGGAGCCCTTTTGGCCAGATGCCCTGGCTGCCCCCTACCCTGCCCAGCCCAGCCGAGCTGCCTGAACCAGGGTGGTCTCAGGCCCCTCCACCTAGCTCCCCCCTTCTGGGCACCCACTTTCCCTGAACAGGGCACACTCATGAGGATGAGTGAGGGGCTGCTCCTGCAACCCCCTGCAGAAGACCACGTTCATGCCAATCCTCACCCCCTGGGCAAAAGGATGCACAGCGCCCATCGGTAAACTGAGGCAGCACAAGGAGTCGGGAGACATGTCCCTTCACAGTCTGGACCTTCTCCCCAACATCAGCTGCCAGGGGAGGGACAGCAGTGCCCCAGGCTCCAGAGTCTGGTCACCAGCCCAGGTGTCCTCATGACCAGTGCCCACAGGGTGAGTGTGCATGTGTGAAGGCATGAGGGCATGTGTGAGTGCATGCAAGTGTGTGCTAGTGTGTGAGCAGCTGAATGTGTCCCCAAATTTACACGTACTCAGAGGTGGGGCCTCTAAGGAGGTGATTAGGTTGGACGAGGTCACGAGGGTGGCCCTGACCCCAGAGGACTCATGTCTTTATAAGCAGAGGGTGAGACCCCAGGAGAGTACACAGAGAGACAGAGGCGTCAGGAGAAACCAGCCCTGCCCACGACCTCAGATGTCCAGCCCCCAGGACGGGGAGCCAAGACACATCTGTCCTGAAGCCACCCCATCCGCGGCATTGTTAGCAGACACCCGGGCAGACTCCACACGCTGCTGAGCAGCCTGCCCTGAATCCTGGATGTGACGCGTGGGCCTGGGAACAGGTGCAAGCCTGTGGCCATAGGTGTGCGGCACACGTGTGTCACTGGCCCCGTGTGCCAGGACGTGTCTGCTCCTGTGGGCACCTGGGTATGCATCTGGGGGTCCCATGAGGACAAACTGTCGGCGCCCACTCTGACCCCTTTGGCCAGACAGGGCCTGGAGGAGGGCCATGTCCCCTCTAGTGGCCGGGCCAACCCTGCCTCCCTGAAAACTCTGAGGGCTGCATCAGGGTCTCCCTGCCCCACCCCACACCCATCCTGGGTTGGGGACTTCCCGCAGCACCGCAGGAGAGGGAGAGGCTGGAAGGACCCAGGCGACCATCCCATGGAGCACTGGGCATCCTCGGCATCGGACTGGGCAGTCCCAGGACAGGTTGGGAGGGCCCGTGTGCTGAGTCACTATGGTGTGTAAAGGGAAGGAGCACATACACACACACACACGTGCACACATGCGTGAGTTTTCTTTCACACGCAGTTCTCTCTGACGTAGCTGGGAGCCCCTGAGGCTGGGGAGGCTACACTGCGTTGTTTTTGTACCTTTAAGTCTTAACCGCGGCACAGGATCACCTGTCCAACCATTCACTTAAAAAGGCTCAGGCAGGTGAGCAGGGCCGGGGCCAGGGGCCACGGTGGCCCCAGCAATCCACCAATTGATTGGTCATCTGTGAATTCCTGTTGGAGAAGTGGAGCACATTGTGCAGGGGTCTGCATGGCGGGTGGGCAGCAGTGACAACGGGGACTCTGGAAACTCCACGGCTCCCTTTCAGGCTCTGGCGTGGGGCGAAAAAGCCTGTGCTTGCCCCTTTCACAGGAGGAAATCAAGACACAGGATGGTAGGAACTCTTGCTTCCCACTTCCCGCGTCAGTGGGGAGCTGGGCTTTGAAGCCAGCTAGTCTATCCCACCACCCCGGCCTGGAAGCAGCCGTTCTGGACCACTCCCTCGGGGGACGACAAGCTCTCCTAGTCAGCAGAGCCTCCGGTCCTCTCAATCCTCAGTTCTTCCCCATTTTCTCATTGTCAAGCCCTCGGGGAACGACTCTCCCGCATTTCTAGGATCTCTTCCCTGTCTGTAAGATGGGGACACGGGGAGGGATGTGGTGCTGCTCCTGGCTGTGCCCTGAGCCACCTCTGCAGCCTCTGAAAGACTCGGACACCTAGGCCCACGCTCTAGGAGGGGAGCTCCCCAAACGAGGCCCCCCAACCATACTCAGTCCCCTATCTCCTGAATCTTGTGATCACAAGGTGTCAGGTGCAAATGGAAGAGTCAGGTGGAGCTGGGACACTTCGTGGTATAAAAAATATTTAGTCTTCATCCCCACTTCCTGGCACACAGCTCGTAAAACCCCCAGGATCCTGGGTGAGAAGAGTCTCTGGGATGCTGCTGGGGTGATGGGGGGCCAGGGCCCTGGATGGCTGCTGAGGATGGGCTGGTCCCCAGAAACACCAGGGCAGGACTGGAGGGTGGGAACTGCCCACCCACCCCAACCTCTGGAGGGGAGGGGGCCGGGACGGAGTTGAGGGTCCAATCGATCACAGCTGCGTATGGAATCGCCACCAAAACCCTACACTAGCTGGGGCTTGGAGAGCCTCCAAGCTGGTGGCCACCGGGGCCGGGGGGGGGGGGGGGGGGGGGCGGGGGCGGGGGGGCGGGGCAGGGGGCAGGGCGCGGCTGGAAGCCCCGAGCCCCTCCCCCAGCCCGGCCATCCGGCTGCTCCTGCGTGGCATCCTTTCCACCGAGCCGCTCACAGTGAGTCAAGTGAAAAACAGAAAGTCTCGGGCGGGGGGCCTCCCGCAGGGCTGAGCTGGGAAGTCCCCACCGGCAGGATCGCGGGCACAGGTGAGAGCACCCAGCCCACCTGCGGGAAATTCCGCGCGGCCACGGAGGCCGGGGCAGGCCCACAGCGGGGTCAGCCCTCCCTGAGCCTCAGGGTGAGAGAGGGTCCGAGTGGTCTGGCATGCGTGGCGTGTGTGCCCATCTCCCACCAACCGGGAGAAATATCTTTTTCTCCTGCCAAGTAGACAAACAATAGTGGGCCCTGAGGTTGAGGAAGCTCGGGGTCTGGCAGGCAGTGCTCCACTCTAGGGTGACCTTCCCCATACCAGGGGCCATGTGGGGGCCGCCCACCCTCTGGTGCTGGTCTCTGCTGCCAAGGCTCCTAACCCCTGGCCCAGGACTCAGGGAGGCTCACGGTGACCCTAGGGCACAACTGTCCGTCACCCATATGCCCAGTCTCCATCCTAAGCGTCCAGCAGGGCCCCGGGCTCAGCCTGCACCTCTGTCTGCCCGAGCGTCACACACCTGCTCACTACCGACCCACCCACACGGGCCCAGCCCACTGCAGAGACCTCACTCCCACCACATGCTCAAGGCTGTTCTGTAAACAGCTTTTCCTCCTGTTTGGAAACCAAACCAGGTGTGACCACAAGCCCTGCTCCGCAGCGGCCCGGCCCCACGCTGCTCGGAAGCGGCCCTACGACAGGGCTGGTCACACGGGCAGCTCAGAGTGGCCCCCACCCACCTGGCCAGAGTCCCCATCCCAGTAGGGCCTTGGAAGGCCCAAGTGGAATCGCTGGGCAGGTGAGCTGTCCACTGAGGTACCTCGGGCCATGGCTCAGGGCTCTGAGGGGGGGTAAATACTGGGGGGGCTAGGAAGCAGCCAGCCTGGTGGGCATATGGGGTCAGGACTTTCATTTATTTAAACCCTCACAGGGGCCGGCCCTGTGGCTGAGTGGTCGGGTTCGCGCACTTCGCTCTGGTGGCCCAGGGTTTCACCAGTTCGGATCCTGGGCGCGGACATGGCACCGCTCATCAGGCCACGCTGAGGCAGCATCCCACCTGCCACAACTAAAAATACACAACTATGTACCAGGGCACTTTGGGGAGAAAAAGGAAAAATAAAATCTTTCAACCCTCACAGCTCTATCTCCTTCATCCCCACATGCCCACCAAGCACCGGGCACAGCTGACCCCCAGGAAGGGCCTGGGGCAGTGAGCAGCAGCGACGCAGGTGATGGGACCTCAGACAGCGGAGGTCAGTCTCCCCGACGGCAGCCAGCACGGCCCCTCCTGTCCCCAGGATCCCAGCCCCTCCTCTGTCCCACATACTCAGCCTGGACTCACTCCAGGTGGCAGCTCCTCCCATCCCCTCAGGCAGTGGCCCAGGGCTCTCCTCAGATCTTCCCTTCTCTGTGCAAAACTCCCATTTCTGGGCCTGGCCCAGTGGCGTAGTGGTTAAGTTTGCGCTCCACTTCGGTAGCCCAGGGTCCGCAGGTTCAGATCCTGGGCACAGACCTAGCACCGCTGCTCGTTCAGCCATGCTGTGGTGGCATCCCACATAAAGTAGAGGAAGATTCAGATGTTAGCTCTGGGCTGATCTTCCTCACCAAAAAAAGGCAAAACAAAAACTCCCATTTCTCCAGGCCCCTCTGAGGTCTCTCCTAGGCCTGGGCTTTGGGCTCTTGACTTCAGATCTGCAGCCCACACCCCTGGCTCCTGCTCGGCCCTGCAGAAGCCCCTCCCATGTGCCCCATGCCCCCCCTTCTATAAACACATCCCTCACACATGTCCCTCGCCCCAAGACCCTGGTCCCGCCTGAATGCCCCCCACCCCCACCCCGACCCTTCTGGCCTGGGAGGCCACGGTCCTGCTGGGACGCCCCCCCGCCCCAACTCCTCTGGCCTGGGGGCCCCAGTCCTGCCTTCACCTGCTGCCCTCACACGCTGCCCCGGCGGGTGGGCAGACCCGATGGGAGCACCTTGACTCTCACGGTTCTCATGGGCACCAGGAAGCCCGTGTTCTGACCAGATGGCCCACCTCAAGAGCCCGTGGCCACACATGTTCCAAATTATTGTTTTTTTCACCAAAAAAATCAGCTAGGAGGAAAAGGCAACTATATTTTAAAGTAAATTAATGTGATTCTTGTCGCAAGGAATGGTGTTTTCTCAGAGACTGAGAGACTGAGCACGTGTGACCGGCGGTGCTGACAGCCCCTCCCCAACACCCGGGAGGCGCAGCCACCCGCCCCAGCTGCTGGCTACGGGTTTCCAGCAAAGCAATTCTAGCGTTGTCTTGTCTTTCAGTTTTCAAGGAAGTAGCAGGAGTTGCACTGTTTCCCACGGTG